AGTCAATTAGTCAATATAATGTTTCTTAATGAACGTAAAGGTCTTTAATACTCATATACAGTCATTCTGACAGACTGTAGTACACTACAGGAAGTGTAGGGGGCGATATGGCTCTATTGTTTCACTGCTAAGACAATAAATTGTTTGTGGCACAGACAAAACTTCGAACATCAAAGATAGATAAACTGAAGAAGGTGGAATCGTCAGATTAGTCGACTAATTGAATAACAGTCAACAGATTAATCAATTATAGGAATAATCGCTTGTTGCAGCCCTAATGTTGGTTTTTTACATGGAGGGTTTCAAAGCAAACGTGACATTAAAACAGGATGAGTACAAAATTATTAGTGACAGCAAAAAATCTAAAAAATTATAATAAATAAATAAATATACTTCTGCTTTATTAAAATGCAGCTACAGTGCAGCTAAAGGAGCAAACAGAGACGACCTCACACACACACACACACACACACACACACACACACGTTTCTATAATCTGCTGAATGTAAGTGGGGCTGTTTGTTCGTTTTAAGGCCTTTTCACACCGAGTTCAACAAACAACAAATAAAAGCTGTTCACAGCGAGTCTGAAACTGCGTAAAACTCGAGTCCGCTCAATTTTCTACAGTCTATTCATTAAACCAGGCTGACCAATCGGAGCTCCGTTGTCATGGTTACGGTCCAAGCAATGCATCATGATGGTGGCAGAACTCAACCAGCAACATGCTGACCATAAAACGCAGAAGTTGAAGAAAATACAGGGAGGACTTCAGCTGAAAGGCTGGGAATGACCGCGAGAACCTCTGAACAACATATACTGTAAAATAATGTGTTTAAACGTACAAAAGTAATAATCGGACTACCTTAAAATCAAAGTTCACTGAATGTCAAATAACAGAATGTAAGACACCAGTTATTGCTCTGTTAACGTACTATTGGGACCTCAAATGACTCCAAAGCCCAGTTAGGTTTTTCCCGTAACACTGTAGTGCTGTTTTTTTAGTTTTTTTAATCACCATTATTATTATTATTATTATTATTATTATTATTATTATTATGTAAGTCTAGATGTATGCCAGATATCACCGCCTGGCAAGAACTGCGAAAAAATAAAAATGCATTGGACTTGATGTGAGGGTTCCACTGCGTTAATAATCACATCTGTGGAGCTCCAATGTGGTGCCATCATCTCTGTCGCTGTGAGATCACGACAGTGATTCCAGGAGATGCCACAGCCATCCGTAATCTGGAGTCCAAGAGATCATAACTGTCCTCTCTCTCTCTGAGCTCAGGACTATGCTAGCCAATGTGAGCTGATGTAACAGAATGAGCAGTTAGTGCTCTCCTCCAAGCATGTTGAGCTCCAATGCTGCATTAGTGGGAGTCTGAAAGGACGCAGTGGAGCTTCACGTGTCTCAGAGGCAGCTCGTGTAGGTCTTCAACCTCCCTGCTCTGCAGCGCTGTGTGACAGAGGGAGCCCTCGCTAACGGGTGGAACAGGCAATGATTATAATTGTGGAGACTTTCATGTTTTGGGGGGTTTTTTGGTCCAAAAAAATACAAATGGTACTCGGTGTGAACAGGCCTCTAATCTCATAACACAGAAATCAAAACAGGCCGTTAAGGGTTTTGGTTTAGTGTCGCTATTTACAACATCCAGTCCAAAAAAAAAAACAAAAAATGCACGACAACAAACGTACTAAAACCATGCACCTGAAAAAGAGCCAGCCGTACATCTGTATATCAGTAATGCACTACAGGAGGTTTAATGCTGTCAGCCGAAGCGAAGCCTGTTAGCTCAGTTCAGTAACTTCAAGTTATTCCTAGTTTCTGAGAGAAACTCAAAAGGACAAAAACAGACTTGATCAACACTGTATTTCAACTCAAATCCATCACTGAGGGAAGGCATTTCACATTAAAAGTCATGTTAAAGTTCGCCGATACTGACCAGAAAAAAGGAAAAATGATATCATTTCCCAGACAGGCTGAGAAAACAGAACTGAAAGGCCTCATGCTAATGCTAATGCTAATGGTGATAACCAGGGACTATAAACTAACTCCCTCGCGGGAAGTTTCTCACTTTCAGCATGTTAACTCCTCACAGATGCTTTCTGGGTTGTAGTTCAGCTCTGCTTTGGGAATTACCTGCTGGATCCTCTGAACTATGAGGTCATGAAGGAGTTAAATGTGCTTAATATGCTTAAACAGAAGCGGGATGGCCTTGTTAGGGGGCGGGTTAGCTCATCTGACTGGGTGCATAAATATGAGACAGCAATTTGAAAGAGAGCAAAAAAGACCAAGACGAGCGAGAAACATTCTGAAACTGACATATACAATAAAAACAGTAGAATATCGATCATTTCTATCGATTTTAAACGATAGTTTGACCAACAACCAGTTTTCTCAGCTTATTCCAAATGTAGTCGATCAGCCAAGACATGTTTGGTGTCTGGAGCTACGAGGCTAATGTAGCTACCAATTATGGAAGCCTATGTACACCAATTAGCATGGTGCTAACTGCATACCTAAATTAAATGGTTCAGATGTAGACAGAGTGCTTCAGAGTGGTTTAGTGTTCTAGAGAAACTTACCGAGTCAGAATTGTATGAATTCACTGCCTGATGACTGAGACACTGTTTTATGATAGTTTAGAGAACTGAAACTCCATTCATGGTGGAGGGATACATGCAGGGCGCTGTGAGGCAAAATAGTCCCCAAAGAAAACTTATTATTCCAGATTTTCCACTATTTTCCATCATCAACATTCATATAAACTCAGAAGACTCGTGTAGGTTCACTGGTGGTTCTGGATAGTAAATAAAATGTCTATATCTGTGTTGTAGTCATGGCGACCCCTGGTTCCTATCACCACCACTGTTAAGACATCTGAACCATTTCACACCAAACCGCTCTGAACCTCTCTGATTACATCTCACACACTTTAATGGGGGAAATGTCCCTTTAAGAAATAACAGACTTGCTTATGTGGTTTTCTGGACAGGAATTAAGCCAAATCCTGGACTCTATGCTACGTAGTCCAGGACCACTCATAAAATGGTTCTTTTATATAGAACCATGAACATTCCAATAACCATGTACATGCTTAAATGGTTCTCTGCATGGTGAAGTTGTTCTTCAGATTGATGGAGAATGTGTTGTGTACGGTTCTATATTGCATCTTTTTTTAAAATGGTTCTGTATAGCACCCAAAACGGTCCTTCTACGGTTATGAAGTCAAGCTTGTAACAATAGCAGAGCCCTTTTTGGTGTTACATAGAACCATATACAACACATTCCCCATCAATCTGAAGAACCATTTCCCCATGCAGAGAATCATGCAGACGGCTAATCAGTCTGGGAAACTGATCCTAAATGTTTTGGTTGATCTACATTTGGGGAACTTATTTTTCCTAAACTACTGCTTTAAAATCCCAAACGTGTTCGCTGCTATCTGGTTGTGCAGATGTTCTGAATGGATCTGAAATCCTGATGGCACAAAAATGAAAAAGCTGCCATAAAACTCCAGCTGCCTCCACACACTGAGGGTTCTCCAAGGGTTCTCTACTCCACTTTCCCTCTTTAATCCACTCTCTGACCAGCACAGCCTGAAGAAGGAGATGTGGCATTAAAGCAATCATCAGAAACACTGACCAATCAGCTGCCGTTTCTATCACAGTCTGTATCATGCAACATCCTATCCAGACACGCTTTACAGACGCTGGTAAAAATCCCATTGAAGCTAATGAGTTTAGAGTCGCTACAACAGGGTTAACTGGTCTTACTAAGCAAAAGCAGGGACGCTGGGACAATAAGCGATTTTGAAAAATCGGTAAATAGGGACATCATTATTGATAAAATATTAATTATTTAAAATCATTTTTATCATAACATTCAATAGATCTAAGACAGTTCCCCTTTGTGCCAGAGGGGGCGACAAAGCCTCACAGAGTCCGAGTTTCACAGACACGTCAAAATGAAAGACTGAAAAATGAAAAATGAAAGATTTTTTTAAACATACACTTTAACACTAACGCTGCGGCTTTTCTCGCCACGTTCTGCTGCACCGGAACTCTCTGCTCGCTGCTGGTGGGCGTTTCTGTGTCATTGCGGAAATAAAGGAACCATATTAAACATTTGTGGTGCAGAAAACAAACCGTCCCCTACGAGCTAGAACGTCAGCTCGCTCAGCGTGACCGGCAAGCTAGCTACCTGACCTAGGCTCTTATAAAAGATGGTTCTTCAAAGGTTCTTTACTAAAGACAATGGCTCTATATAGAACCATGAACAATCAGAGCACCACTGCACTGCTGTATATGGTTCTATATAGCACCAAAAAGGGTTCTTTTATTGTTGCAAACCTGACATCATACCTGTACACTCTTAAAAAAGATGGATCTCCAGTGGATCTTTTGTCAAGAAAATGGTCTAAATAGAACGATAAACACTCAAAGAACCCTTTTTTGTGATTAAAGAAAGAAACCTAAAGAACCATGAAAGGTTCTTCAGACTGATGAAGAATGTGCTGTAGATGGTTTTATATAGAACCTCTTTGAAAAGTGTTCTATATAGCAGCAAAAATGGGTTCCAGTATTGTTACAAGCCAAAGAGCCCTTTTTTGGTACTATTTAGAACCCTTTTTGCTAAGAGTGTAGAAGAACCCTTTTTAGTGCCATATACAACACCTTCTCCATCAGTCCGAAGAACCATTTTAACATGCGGAGAACCATTCAGTCATGCGAATGGTTCTTTGAGTGTTCATAGTTCTACATGATATGATTGGCTAAATGCAAAGCTGCACTTATTTGCACAAAATTGGAAATCTGAAGTCGGAATGTGAATGGGAATGTTGGAATATGAACGGGAACGCTCGTAAGACTCAACTACAGAAGTCTGGAGAGGCCATGAGCTGTTGCTTTAATTTTCTGGATTGTTATGTGGAGATAATGGGTTAATTATCTTGTGATCTCAAGAAAACAACTTCGCCATCCTGAGATCACAAGATAATTAACTCGTTATCTCAAGATAACAATCTAGAAAATGACATCTACCTCATGGCCTCTCCGGACTTCCGCACGCAACTTTCCTATAATCTGAGCTCTCAACCGAAGTGAACAGCATGTGGCCGTGTAGTAAGTGGACGCGTACCGTAAAGCCGTCTTTCAGGTGGTTGTTGCGAATGTTTTTCACTCCTTTTAAAGCTCTGAGCTGAAGCAGAGCCTCCACACTCACGGTGCTGCTGCAGAGCTTCAGCTCAGAGTCTGTCGTTTTTAAAAGTCCACGCCTTTAAAAAACTGATCACTTTAAGGTCACTACTGCTCGATGGACTTTTCTTTGTGTGTGTTTAATAAAAAAGCACACCAGATCGAAAGTCTAGACCCCGAATACGAGTGAAAAATACTGTTTCTGGTGCCGTTTTCTCCGTGTAGCCGCGCGGCGACTCCCTCTCAGGACCACTCACTGTGTTAAAATGAGGTAAAACCAGGGCTGGAGTTTCAGAGCGCGGATCGGAGCGTGGAACGCTCACGCTTGCAAAACGGAAAGTAAAAAAATTCTACTCATCAATTTCACGGCCGTTATCGATAATCATCAACAGATCGATAAGTGATCACGGCCTTAATCTGAAGCAGAGCCGCTGAACACTCCTGGATCTCTGACTGAAGCTACAGGCTGAAACACACACACACACACACACACACACACACACACACACACACACAGAGGACGGCAAACGTAAACAAAAATACAACGTCTGTTATTTGATAAGTGTATCAAATCTGTCCAGTTCGGATTATGTATTATAAAAAATGCATACAAGTTTTTAAAAAACAAAAAACAAACAAACAACGTTAAACAGTGCAAATCATATTTATAATAATATTTTACAAGAACGAAACCTGGGTTTGCTAAAAGGGCGGGACTAGAAGGGCGGGGCTAGGAGGGCGGGGCGGGGCATTTTCTAGAATAAAACCGAGGGGGCGTGGCATACAGGTGATGTCATGGTTCTGTTCCTCCAATCAGCCGCTCTCCTCTCAGCTCCGCCTGATTCTGGAGTGCTGGATCAGCCACTGTAGTGTGATATCTAGAACAGAGAACCACAGAACAGAACCATTTTAGGGCATGGATTTTTCTCCTTAACTAATGAAGTTTGATGAAGGAGGAGCCGAACGATCGGAAACACTGATTAGCAATTATTATTATCCAATAACAGATAATAAAATGAAATATTATTTAATGTGGTCACAAACATTTAACAGTAAATAATTTGTCCTATGAAAGATTTTAATCTAAACACAATAAAAATGAACTGCAGCAAATTTTCAGTCGTGTGCAAAAGTTTGTGCGCCCCGATCTAACTGTTCTGAGTGTTAAAAAGTTAAAAAATCCTCTACAGACACTGATTATTTACTGAATTCAACATAATGGGGTAAACAAATAAAACATCAAATATGCCCTGTGAAAAAGTTATGGCCCATTTTATATTTCATGTTTCATTATTTTCCAATCTGTTAAACTCACTTTAACATGTAAAACTGTTCAATAAAATGAGCAGAAAAATAAAATATTTAAGTCTATAAGTTTCTCTAAAATGAACCATTACTGGTTCTATTAGACTAAAGAATTTCAAGCTGTGTTCAGAGTCTGAAGGGTGCTAATAAGTGCAGCCTAATTAAGTGTATTTATTGTGCATCTGGCTCCACTAATAAACAAACATCTGCATGTAGGTCTGAGTGAATCTTACCGATGTTGTCCTTCTCCTTACAGGAGATGGAGTAGCAGCAGATCTCTCGGTCCTGAATGGCTGACAGATTCCTAACGAGGGGGAGGGGTCATAGTCTCATTAAAGCTCATTAAGAACACAGGTAAACAAACAGAGTTAACGAGTTAAACTCACATCCTCTCAATGAGCTCCTTCTCGTCCAGCGACCCCGGCAGGTCTCTCTTATTGCCCAAAACCAAAACCTGAAAAGACAGTTTGATCAGTGCAGTTATGATGGATACACAGACGAACACATCTGCAAACAGACCGTTTAGCTAAGACATGCGGGGCTCATTTACCTGAAGGATGTTTTACGTCCCTGAAATCACATTCTGACATTCTTTTAAATCAACTTTAATGTTAATTATTTACCATTGTATATACATACATCATCTAAACCGCTTATCCTTCTGGGTGCATTAAACCAAAGAGCTTTTACAAGAGGCTCTGAAGTCCATTTGTAGTGATGAGACCGATCAAGGTGCAGCAGGTGCAACCTCAACCTCAATCAGTCTAAATTTCAACCACCCCAACCTCCAACCTCCATCATGTTTACCTCAAATCTCCATCATGTTTACCTCAAACCTCAACCACTTCAATCTCCAATCTCAACCACCCCAACCTCCAACCTTAATCACGTTTACCTCCAACCTTAATCACATTTACCTCAAACCTCAACCACTTCAATCAAAATAACCCTAACCTCCAACCTCAACCACATTTACCTCAAACCTCAACCACTTCAATCAAAATAACCCTAACCTCCAACCTCAACCACATTTACCTCAAACCTCAACCACTTCAATCAAAATAACCCTAACCTCCAACCTCAACCACGTTTACCTCAAACTTCAACCACTTCAACCTCCAACCTCAATCACCCCAACCTCCATCACATTTACCTCAAACCTCCATCACGTTTACCTCAAACCTCCATCACGTTTACCTCAAACCTCAACCACTTAATCTCCACCCTCAATCACCCCAACCTCAAACCTCCATCATGTTTACCTCAAACCTCAACCACTTCAATCTCCAATCTCAACCACCCCAACCTCCAACCTTGAGCACATTTACCTCAAACCTCAACCACTTCAATCAAAATAACCCTAACCTCCAACCTCAACCATGTTTACCTCAAACTTCAACCACTTCAACCTCCAACCTCAATCACCCCAACCTCCAACCTCCATCACATTTACCTCAAACCTCCATCACATTTACCTCAAACCTCCATCACATTTACCTCAAACCTCAACCACTTCAATCTCCAACCTCAATCACACCAACCTCCACCCTCAAATCACATTTACCTCAAACTTCAACCACTTCAACCTCAATGACCCCAACCTCAATTACATTTACTTCAAACCTCAACCACCTCAATCTCAACCTCCAACCTCAGTTACATTTATTTCAATCACCTCAATCTCAATCACCACAAACTGTAACCTCAGTCACCCCAACCTCAATCACCTGAACCATCACCCTCAAAGCACATCTAACCTAACATCCTTCCCACCTACATTAACTCTCATCCATGTTAACCCCATAACCTCTCCGGTGTGAATCACCTCTACCTCCAGCCTGAATCACTCTACCCTCAAACACCTCAACCTCTCTTTGCAATCACCTCCAACCTGAACGGGAACAGTCAGGAGTTTAAATGTGTTGAACTGGATTCTGATGGCCAAACGATTCTGATGTGTCTGATGAACACAACAGCAAATTAGCCAGACAAACAGTGAAGTTTAAAATGGAAATTAAACTGAAAGAACAGGCATTTCCTTCGGTCAGAGTGAAAAGCACTGACTGCTTTGAGGAGAATTGAGTTTTTGTTCCCTTTTTTAAAGCTCTTTAGCAGAAAGTACCGCCTGTTTGGGCAGAATTAGTCACATGCCTCTGCGTTCTGCCTGGTATTCAGAAGAAGTTTAAGGGCTCAAACGTAAGTCAGAGCTGACAGCTCACAGTTGGAGCGCATGTGTAAAGTAAAGCACTCACAGGAATGCCCTGCAGCTGCGGCTTGTCTAACAAGTTGTGCAGTTCATTCTTAGAGGCTTCAATCTTCTCTGGATCTGCGGCATCAACCATATACCTGCGAGAAAGAGAGAGAGAGAGGTATTAAAAGAAAGAATGAATACAGACACACTATTTGACAAATAATATCTACATTCAGAGTGAGGAACAGTGGCTATAAACAGAGAAATATACGTAGATACATATGTTATACATACCGTCGCTGCCCAAAGAAAACCATGCATCTCCATTTTTGTCGATTTTTATTTTCCTACATCATTTTAACACACCAGCTGTCCTTCACATTGTGTTTCATGATTAACGGACCAATAGAAATGCTCTGAAATCACTTAGAATAAAATCTTTTTTTTCTAATGTGATATAAACTGAGTCTGTTCTACAGTTTCTCATTAGGCTGAATGAATAACTGACTCTAAATGTAGGTATTGTGATATAAACTGAGTCTGTTCTACAGTTTCTCATTAGGCTGAATGAATAACTGACTCTAAATGTAGGTATTGTGATATAAACTGAGTCTGTTCTACAGTTTCTCATTAGGCTGAATGAATAACTGACTCTAAATGTAGGTATTGTGATATAAACTGAGTCTGTTCTACAGTTTCTCATTAGGTTGAATGAATGAGGATATACTGAGTCGTCTAAAGGTGATGTAGGTATTGTGATATAAACTGAGTCTGTTCTACAGTTTCTCATTAGGCTGAATGAATAACCGACTCTAAATGTAGGTATTGTGATATAAACTGAGTCTGTTCTACAGTTTAATGGGATTTTTAGCAGTGTTCTGTAAAGTTTGTCCAACCTCACAACAGTAGCTATGAAAGAAGATTGTGGGCGGAGCCTGGAGAGTATTAGAATAATCAGAGTGCAGTATTAAAACTGAAATGAGATGATACTCACACTATAGCGCTGACGCCCCTGCAGTACCTCTCCCACATACTGCGGAATCGGGGCTGACCACCAATATCCCACAGCTACAAAACACAAATGAACACGTTACAAATATAAACACCCAAAAGTTGGTCATTTATTCCATTTATTCCAGATGTGCAAACAAGGACTGCAAACTGCAAAAAATCTATCAGCCGTTGGGGGCATTGATTATGAAAAGGGGTCAACATTTAATTTATTTAACAATAACGCTCATCCATGATCCACACAGTCATTCTGACAGACTGTAATACACTACAGGAAGTGTAGGGGGCGATATGGCTTCTACTGTTTCATTTAAAAAGCCCTTTTAGCCCTGCCCATTTTCAGGCAGAGCGGTTTTAATCGATCAGCAGGTCACAGCAGTGAACGTCTGAAAACACACACTGACCTTGATGGTGACGTTTCCTTTGGTGATCTTCCGCATGTTGAAGCCAACAGTAGGAATCATATCCTCACTGAACTGGCCCGACTACAGAGAGAGAGAGAGAGAAAGACAGAGAGAGACAGAGAGAGAGAGAGAGAGAGAGAGAGAGAGAGAGAGAGAGAGAGGATGATCAGGTCTGCTGGTAACAGATGTCGGTGGGTAACACTGAGTATGAAACAACACTGCACAGCTAAAACAGCGTCAGCGCCGCCCTGCAGTCTGGATTTTGTCCAGTTTGTATTTTTACACATTTGTACCGTAATTATAACAGTAATTACTCTAATTTAGTCGTATCTGATTCCCCTTATTAACAAGGTGTCCCTCTGACACGCTGGTACTGATCTGGAAGAGTGAAGGTTCCTCTCAGACACGTGAAGCTCCAGCACAGTGTTCCACACCGACGCTATCGCAACATCATTGGAGCTCAACACGCTTGGAGGAGAACACTAACCGCTAATGTTCCATCAGCTAACAGGCAGCCGCATCGGCTGAGTGACGAGCGGAGAACGTGGTATTCAGGAGGCTGAACTTCTGAGCTACATCTGATGGACAACTGTCAGAAGGTCAGCTGGGATGGGGTGAAAATGTGATGAGAACATCAGACAAAACTGGAATATGATCACAGTACTGCAGACGCTTCCAGCACTCTGAACTGTGGCCTGTTCATTTCCACTAGGACAGCCCGACTGATTCATGGAGGACCACTAACATCTTCATTGCGCTGGGCAACATGATTAGGGGCTAATTACGCTCTCTTTTACAGCGATTAATCAAATTTTATTTTTAATTACAATTTTGGCTTCCAATGTTTATGAAAACAAGATAACCAAGATCAAACAACTGTCAAACAAACACTCCTTTCCTTTTCAACGGTGAGCTTTTGCCCCTCCCTAATAGCCCATCTATTTTGGTTTATTTTATTTTTATTTATTATGTTTATGTTTAAGTAGTTTTCAATAGGTTGCAGAAATGCACATACCTAAGTAATAAGTTGATTTTATTTATTTGTAATTATATATATATATATGGTTTATTATTTATCTTTTTTCTACATTTATTTCTTATTTGTTTTTCAGTTGAATTATATTTAATGTTCAAGGTAATCCACTGTTTAAAAGACAATTTTTTTAAAGTATGTTAAATAATCTCAATATTGACGAAAATAATCATGATTATGATTTTTGCCATAATCGAGCAGCGTCGTCCAGCCCTACGTCTACGTTTGTCCTGTTATTCCAGCGTCTGTTACGAAGTGCTAAGCTAACCTCTAAACTGATGCTTTATGCTGTCAGAGCGCTACGTTAGTTTGTGTTTTATGTAAACAGACTTTTATTTTGTTAATTTGAGTTGCTTCTGGCTCACAGTTGCACATCAGCCAGCTGGCTACACTGCTAATCTCTGAACTGACTGATATGCATTCTCTCTGATCAATAATTAAATTAATAATATCCTCATCTTACCCACTCAGATCGGTCAGGAAAGTCCCGTATTTACACACAGAGGAGTGCAGTGAGGTCAGGACAGCCTCAGCTCAGCTGCTGCCCACATGCCTCTCAAACAGAGTCTGAGTCAGCACACGAGGAACACTGACACTCAGCAATGAGAGACACTCGCCGCTTTGGACGCCAAACACACCCGACGTGTGACTGAGAACCGATCACAATAATCAATTCTGAGTCTTACTGTTGAATCTATATGAAGAAAAACGTGCACATACTTGGTGCTTTAACATGTTTGTGCTGAATATACTGAGTATGTAAATATATGCACATGCACGTCAATATATATATATATATATATATATATATATATATATATATATATATATATATAGATAAAATACTTATTAATTTTTAACATTTACATATTCTGCTCCTCCAAAATGACAAAAACACACTACTTTCTTTACAGGAGAGAAAAAAAACATCTCACAAGTGTTTTACAGTATAAATTAGGCCCAAACCCATTTCCACCCGCGCCCCTACCACTCAGCCCCACCCCTCTGTTTTGTGCGTTCACATCTAGGGGTAGGGTGTCCCGATTCTTGTTGAGATAGAGGGGTAGGGCGGAGTGTTGGGGCTACATGACCCTCCAAAAATCTGAGAATTTCCTCTGCTAAAAAGTACGATAACCATCGTATCATCTTAGTTTAGCACAGCACTGTTTAATGCACAAACTTTTACTTTATAAGTACTTTTTGGTCACCAAATCACCACCGTGAGTCTTATTTAGCACCAATCCAGCGGCTCCTCTTCTCACACTGGGGCTGAATCTCAAACGGCTCTGTACTCCCTACATAGTGCACTACGTAAGAGTTTAAATACTGGATCCTGCAGCCCAACAGAGCAAAATACAGCTAAGAAACAGTCATTTGGGTCTCAGACTCATCCACACTTGATACATGATGCACTGTTTAACTGTAGAGGCTGGAATTTCTAAACTTTCATAGCTAGAACACTATTTAGGGAGTACAGAGCCGTGTGGGATTCAGCCTGGGTTTGACTGAAACACGTTTACACATCTGAAGTGTGTAAAACATTCAAGTGACATTTTTAGACTTTTATACTGCAGTTTTACAGTAAATCACACTGTAAGTGCTTTAACTCAACCCTGTGACATTAACGAGGGAGCTGTTTAGGCTGTTGGCTCTTTTAGCCTGTTAGCAATCTGACCAGCCCAGTTCTAGTTAAGAAAATAAGTTGTCAGCCCCTCAGTTTAAATAGAACTGGGTTCTTAAATCATCAGTACACTCGGTGCTCCGTGTGAGCAGCATTAGAGTCAAACATAATTACGTTAACAAAGGTTTTTTTCGTGCCGTAATACACTGTTCAGCTGCTGTGAGGCGGTCAGTGTGTGTATATCGTATATTTCACAATGGTTTCGAACGCAGCTCAGCCAATCAGATTTTAGGACCTGAACTATCTGTATTTATAATACAGTTTATAATAGGATACAACAGGAATAATATAGATTACTATGAGACAGCAATACAGGAATATTATACAGAGGAGGAAATATTATAGATTATAGATAATATATGTATTTTTATATTGGAATTATACAGCAATGCTGTTTCATATTGTAAATTTTGCATATTTTTGGCACATGCATGGGTGTCACTAGCATAAATGCCTTTATCACCACTCACTCAGATGTAATTCTGGGAAAGAATGAGGTCAGATACATCCTCAGAGGATAAGCAGTGTGTGTAAAACAATAAAAAAGCATGTGCATTTCATAATAACATCAACAGATGTGATATTTAAAAGGCCTGTGTCATTTTAAAATGAACTTTCCTCACTTTTCTGTGCCAAAAAAGGTTCAACGTAGTACGTAAACACTGAGCTGCACTTTGAATGCACTGTTTTTGTGATGTCACAAAAACCAAAACATTTAGCTTTAATTTGCAGCCAACATTATCAAAAATGGCGTCTTAAGTTGAACCTGATAAGAACAGAGCTTGTGAACTGCATGTAGACCAATCAGAAGCCACCAAGCCTTCATGTGTTGTGACATCACAACCACAACCTCCAGCCAGATATTCTGTTCTTCTTGGGGGAAAAAACAGGCTGGAAGCTTCATTTATAGAAAACGGTCGCAGCCATATTGGTTTTCAGCCAATTAGAACAGTGCTAATTTGCATATAACAGTCTTAAAGGCACAGGAAGGGATTAAGAAAGGTAAAAGTGAATTATGGCCAGTACATGAAACCACACAAACGTCACAAAAGGAAGAAAATGTAGGGGTATAGGCCCTTTAAAACCTCCAAATCTGTAGAAATTGCATATCTATGTAATTATAACACTATGAATAATAGTTTTTTGTTAAAAAAAAAGCATCATGTTCGAATTTTCCGTTCCACCTTAAATGGTGCAGTAGTTACATTATGGCGCCTCAGGCGCCATAATGTAACTCCTGCACCATTTAAGGTGGAACGGAAAATTCGAAAAATGAAGCTGGCGAAAAAGAAGCAAAGAAAGCATTTGCCTTTACTAAAGCATTAAAGGTCCTTCTAAAAAGGTCTAAAAAGGTCAGAATGTCCACTGAGGCCTGAAAAAGAGCTCAATCAGAGTTGCTTTCTGGCCCTGGACCTCATTATGATGGTGGAGGAGGCCTGTAACTGTCCAGCACAGCAAAAAAAAAACACCACATTTACCGCGATCACGTTGACAAACGTTGTTTTCCCGGAATACTGCAGGCCCACCAGGGTCAGCTCCATCTCCTCCTTCCAGAAGAGAGCCTTAAACCAGTCCAGCAGCTTGTTGAACAGGGCGATCATCCTGATGTGATGTGTGAGTGGAGCAGAGCAGCAGCAGCTCCTCACTCTCTCTCTCTATCTCTCTGTCACTGTCTCTCACTCACTCTGCGCCGCTTGTTATTGTGACGGATGGAGGTTTCGCTGTTTTTCTCCGCCGCGGCGCGTCCGTGTTGCCCCTTTTTCCTCCTTTCCTCTCTCGGTTCGATGCTCTCTTGCCTCGCAGCGGCTCCCTTGCCCTCTCTCTCTCCTCTATCGGGGGGTAATTTCTCCTCCCTCCTGCCCTTTTTCCTCTCTTTCCTCTCTGGGTGCGGCTTCACAGTCACAGCTCCGCCCGGTTCAGCGCTGCGCCCTCTGCTGGACATCCCCCAGCACTGCGCGCCACCATTACAATACAGGACAATACTGTGTACTGTATGTGGGTCATTGTGCAGAAGTGGGAGCTAGAAAAAAATGTTTTAAATGATTTTTCCTCCTTTTTAACTTTCTTTTACCTTTCTCTTGCATACTAATCAATATGTTAAAATTAACTGAACATATGTTGTGTACATACTTTCAGACATTTGTCTATATTTGTCGAGAAACTCCACAGAAAATCATAAATAAACAACCTTTTCTCTTTTTTTGCTGCTTTAGTTGTTGTAGTTGTTAGTTTGGTTGTAGCTGAAAAATTTGCACTTTTTAAAAAAACCTCTCAATGTCTGTTTATCTAACGAATACAAATATTGAACTACACACTTAAAAAAGATATATATATATATATATACACACCGATCAGCCATAACATTATGACCACCTCCTTGTTTCTACAACTCCAGCAGCACTGCTGTGTGATCCACTCAGACCAGCACAACACACACTAACACACCACCACCACGTCAGTGTCACTGCAGTGCTGAGAATGATCCACCATCCTGCTGCTCTGCCATTCAGACGACGTCTTTTTCAGGGAAGGCCTTGATTATTTCAGCAGACAGTGTCAAACCACATCCTGCACTGATTACAGCAGCATTGCTCTGTATTAAAAGAGTCCATTGCTAAACTGACCTGCCTGCAGTCCAGACCTGTCACCACTGATAACATTTAGCGCATTATGAAATAAACAACATGGCAAAGGAGACCCTGAACCGTGGCACAGCTGAAATCCTGTATCAAATAAGAGCAGGAGAACATTTCAGTCTCTAAACTACAGCAGTGTCTCCTCAGTTCTCAAACACTTACAGGGTGCTGATAAAGAAGAGCTGATGCAGCGCAGTGGTAAACAGGCCCCGTCCCAACTTTACAGGCATTTATTATTCAAAAACACCAACATTTCTCAGTTTCAACATTTGATATGTTGTATTTGTACAATATTAGTAAATGAAATACAGGGTTTAAATGATTTGCACATCATAGCATTTGTTTTTGTTTACATTTTGCACAGCGTCCCGACTTTCCGGAAACCGGGTTGTGTGTGTTTTTTAAAGTTTGGTGGATAAGAGTTATTAAAATGTAGTAACTGCATTCTGAATATTTACAAACTGTAAATTGGACGGAAAACAGATATCTACGTGCCATGGTGACGGAAAAAACACGTGATTACATTTACTCATTCACTGCACTAGATTCGACGCTCTCATCTCAAGCGTAAAAACGTAAGAACGATCACTGAGATGACAAATGTATTAAATATCACATGTTATTATTAAGCCTGTACATTTCCCCACTAGTGCTGTGACTCTTATAAAATAATAACCAGTGCGGGTACGTGATGACGGTGGCGTGTCGAATCTGCGGTCGGGGTTTCCGCGCTGGGAGAGAGTTGAGTTAGATGAAGAGGAGCTGAGCGAACGGAGCGGAAAACGCGCAAAATAAAGAGTTAATCTCCTTTAATGTGAGTAATTTTCTGCTTTTAGTGCGTCTGAGCAGGTTGGGTAACTAACTTCTACATTTAATCGCACATTTTGATTTGAAATCACTTCGTTTTGTCAGCTGATAGTCGTGCTAATGTTATGGCTACAGGATTTTCCCGTTCCACCTTAAATGGTGCAACAGCTACGTTCTGGCGCCTGAGGGGCCAGAATGTAACTGCAGCAAGTTTAAGGTGGAACGGAAAATTAGAATAAGAAGCTGGCGAATAGGAAGTCAGAGGCTGGTGTTTGTATGTCTACAGGTGTGGCTGGTTTTAAAGGTGAAGACAGATCGAGTTTATATAATAAGATTCTTTTAAAAATTAATGTTTATTTGTTTTTCTGACTTTGCAGACCATGAAGGCCACAGCGTTCCCCCGTGACCTGGGCTAAGTCAAGCTAAACCCACATACTCACCTGTGTAGGTAATAGGTGAACAGGCTCATGTTTACCTCATAATAATGCTCGTATATTTAGTTTTTTTATGGTTATTCAAAGTAAAATGACATGCTGTAGTTAACTGTCAGGTCCGTTAAAGCGCACAGGAGACTTTAAAGGGATATTCCAGCCTGGAACTGGCATTAAAGGGCCCATACCCTGCATTTTTCTTATGTTTTCCACTGAGGTCCACTTATGAAAACTGTGTGGTTTTGTGTAGCAAAAACAGTCATAATTTAATTGTTAAACGACCCTATTCTAAGCTCTCCTCAACCCTTAAAATGAAATAGGCTGGTTTGTTTCTGCGCCTTACATACTGATATGTAAATGAGCTCTATTCTGTTTGGCTGTCATGTATTTTCTGTGAAACTGCTTTGTGACCACGCCTGTTGTAAAAAGCACTGTATAAATAAGCTTTGACTGTCCTTCACCTCATTCAAAAGCAGTCCAGACTGAAACACTCTTCAACTTATAACTTCAGCATGAGTGGGCGGGGCTAAACTGCTGTAGGCTGAATAGGTGCATATAGGTCAGTGATTTGGGCTTTTATGACATCACAAAAATACTGATATCAGAACAGGCTTTTTTTTGCCTCTTGGTTTCCATACATGGGCTGGCGAGTGGTCCATATATGGACTTTAACAATCAGTCTCTTTTGTTACTTTTGGTTTTTCATGATAAAGTCCTTTAAATGCATTATTTGTCGTGTTATTGAGTGTTTGAGGCTTCCTTTTTTGGGTTAGCCACAACCAGGGGAAAGACTATTTAAACAGCCTGCCCCCAAAAAACTACCTCAAAGTGCTTTTAGGTGTTCAGAAGCTCCTCCCACTTTCAAAAAACATAGAGATAAGTAGGCATGTTTACAACAGATGTAGCGATGGTTAAATTTCTTATTTTAGCTGTGGTGCCTCTCGAATAAAACTAAAACCAAACTGCTTAGCAGCAGTTTTATAGGCATTATTAGGCCTGGGCAGTATCTATTTTTTCATACCTTAATATCTTCCTGGCATTTCACTGGGGCATCTGGTATATGATGATATCTGTGTTAAAAAAAAAAACTATTTTGCTTTATATGGTTACCGAATAAACGAACACAGTGCACAATTTTCAAGCCATCGTTCAATAACACTGCAAAAAATAGCATCTGGTCAAGTAAAATTATCTTAAATATAGTCAGTATATCCAATATTTCTCCTGTTGAGATTGTTGTAACCTTATTTTGTTATAGATTATAGATTATTTAATTTATTTTCAAATATGTTTTACTTGTTTTAAGTAATTTTATTAAGTAAAATTATCTCACTATATTGGCAGGTAATTTTGCTTTACTTTAAGAAAAAAACAGTAAAATTATCTACATTTATTATCTAAATTTATTATCTAAATAAATTAATTAACATTCCCTATCGGAAAGTTTAAGTCCGTTCTGATCATGTTCGTCGCGTCATAGTGAGAGTTTATACCGTTCAACATGGCGGAGCAGAAACTGGTCTGCAGAGGAGACGAAGTTTATGCTCCGATCTTTAAAAGACGGCGGTGGGACGGACGTCCAGCTTATGTGTCTCAGAACACGACGTCTTCCTCTCGGCCTTCTTTAATAAGGACATGTGAAGGACGTTTTCCTGAGTCTGACATCATTTTAAAGCAGTTTAAAAACACAAGCGCTGCTCACTGCTGCTCATCTCACTCTGACTGGACTCACGGGATGCTGGTTGTCATGGTAACGTCTACACTAAGCGGTACTTCACGCAAGCACGCCATTTTGGATCAGATTACTTGTAGTGAGCATGTAAGCAGAGATTTTCATCAGAGTGTTGAGCAGAGTGAGAATAAACACCTCAGTCTGAGTCTGTAATCAGAATGAATTCAATCAGACTGGAGAAGATCTCTGCATGTAAACACAGACAGTGAGCCCTCTAAAATATAAATGGGTGGGATTTATTTATTTATCCGTTCAGACGTGGAATAGAAATTTGACACGGTTTAATTTTGAAATACTGTCAATGTATTTTTAAATATCGTCATCACATTTACATACTGTAGTCTACCTTATTACCGTCATACCGCTCAAGCCAAGGTATTATAGGATGGATATGATGCTCATTGACTATCAAATAAGTTACTGAAACTGAAAAACAATACTATAATATGTAAATATCAGATGATTTATCAGCTCATATAGCTCCATGAGGATCCTGTTGGTGTTATTACTGTATGTAAATAATCTCCCTGCCTTGCTCTCCATGTGTTCCAGCGCAGGGTGATGAGGAGGAGGTGAGCGGCTGAGCAGCAGAGTTCACCTGAGCTCAGGTAGCAGGACACCATGGGGTCCACCCTCAGCGAGCCGTGCATTTACGACAAGCTGTCGGAGAGCATCGACATCCTGCGGCAGTCCGGTTACCGGTACGGCATGTCGGAGAGAGAGATAGAGAAGTTCATCAAGCAGGTTTTGGAGACAAACGAGCCACGGAGGGACCCGCCGCAGTTCCCTATTCTCCGAGCCACCATCAAGGTACAGAGATTATTCAGAAAATATACAGTGTTTTATTTATATTACTGTACAGCTGCTTTGAGGTGTTGTAGCGAAAATGAGAAGTGCTGTATAAATAAATGTTTTTATTATTATTATTACTGTTAAACTTATTGACTTGCTTATGTAAACAAACATAAGGTAGCATAACTCATAACATTAGCTGCCTATTTATTATGTTAGAGCCTAAATTTAGCCTTTTTTCCATATGTAACAGTCTTAACAAGCCTTTTAGAGAGTATGTAAAGAGGAAGTCCACCAATTTTTTAAAATTCCAAAATTGTGAGAGTGGTTTGGTTTAAAATGGTTCAGATGTCTTTACAGTGGTGGTGATAGCAACCAGGGGTCGCCATGACTACAACACAGATATAGACATTTTATTTACTATCCAGAACCACCAGTGAACCTACACGAGTCTTCTGAGTTTATATGGAATGTTGATTATGGATATATATATATATATATATATCTATATATATATATATATTTATTTATTATATATATATATATATATAGTTATCATTATATAGTTATTTATTTATATATACATAAGCTTTCTTTGGGGACTATTTTGCCTCACAGCGCCCTGCATATTATGAGTTTAAGTTCTCTAAACTATCATAAAACAGTGTCTCAGTCATCAGGCAGTGAATTCATAACCATTTCATGTAGAACTTTCTATGAGGGAGCTTTCAGAGTGTTTATGTTGTGTTTTGTTTTTGTTTTTTTTTGTTGCAGTTCGTTGTTGCTGTCAGTGTGTTGGTGATAGCAGTGTTAGCCTTCACGTACCCCCAGAGCCTTCCCCACCCCGGACCCTTCAGCACCGGAGCGCACAACTGGTCCTCTCCACTCAGCCACATCAGACTGTTATCCCTGCCCATCGCCAAGAAGTACAACCTGCACAGTAAGAGTCACTCTGTAAAAACAAACCTGCACAGTCTGAGTCGATACCTTCTTTTAACTTACAAACTAAACGTGGGAGAGGCTTAAACCAGAAGTGAGAACTGACCACAACAGATTACAGACTATTCAAGAAGTGCTAACGTTAATAATAGCCAGTCAACGGTCCAGATTGTGGAACAGCGATGGTTATCGTCTCACGGTACCGAACACTGACTGCTCAAGTATTGAAATATGATATTGAATGACACAGAATTTTTCAGCATTCATAGTACTGCAGTAGTTGAGTCAGTAAAAGTGTTGAGGTTTTGATGGTGTCTGTGTCTGTCTGTGTGCGCGTGTGTGTGTGTGTGTGTGCGTAGGTTTTCATGCGTGGTGGGGTGTGGGAGGTCTGAGGCAGACCCTGCTGAACTGTTCTGGCTGTGCCGGAGTGTCTGCAGTGCTGGAGCTGAACGCACTGCACACTGAAGCTGTACACACAGGAACACAGCCCATACTGCTGAAGGTGACCACACACACACACACACACACACACACAACACCTATATACACACACCTCTACATCTGTACACACACCTCTACATCTGTACACACACACACCAGATTTTTTACTAGATTTTTAATCTCGATTAGGTTAGTTAAAGATCACATGATGGTCGATAATCTGTTGTTAAGATTTTGTCTTAATTAGCTAATTAGTGACTGAACAAAATAGTTACTCATCATAAATTCTTTTTCTTCCTTTTTCGTTTTTATTATTTATCTGTCGAATTTTTGTCCGCTAACTCGCACCACAGTTTTGGCGAGACCGGCACCGCTTTAACTCTGGAATGTTCGGTCTGATTATTTCAGGATCGTTTCAGGTTGATTTATTCCCATAGTCGATGCCGTAGACAGCTCCTTACAACCTCTCTCTCTCTCTCTCTCTCTCTCTCTTCTCTCTCTCTCTCTCTCTCTCCAGGCTGGTCAGTCTCTCTGGTTGCGGAGGCAGCAGTTAGAGGAGCTTTACACCACTCGGTCCGACTCGGTGGCGGTCCTGCTGGGAGAGGAGGAGCAGGTCATGTCTCCAGAGGCGGGGTTCCCTCAGAGTCCGGCTAACTTCAGCTTGCTCTGGTACTGAACTCTACCTGTGCTGGACATATGCGTTACAGCTTCAGTGCACTAGGTGGTGCTGTGCATTTACTCTGTAGACGGGGAAGAAGAAGAAGTCTAGTCATTCACTCATAACGGCACAAACCAGTAGGACAGTTAAGAGTTAGCATTAGTAGAAATAACCTCAGATTATTTTAATCCTGTACTATTAAACGAACAATAGTAATAACCTCAGATTTTATTAATGCTGTGCTATAACACGAGCAGTAGAAATAACCTCAGATTAGCATTAGCGTTAGCTATTTTCATATAAACATATATATATATATAATATTTTTGTGTAGACCTTTTGTTTTCGGTGTGGCTGAGACGTTGGAAAATGCATATTTTAGGTACTGAAAATGATCAATGTTAAACACTAAACATATATTGTCCTAATATTTTTGGCCACATTGTTGGCACTACACTGTCAGTAGTGCTGTAAACGTGCTGTTTGTGACTGAACTCACCTGTATGGTTTTTCCTCCTGCAGGAGGTTTGACTCAGGTTCGAGGGAGGAGGTGTTTCAGTGGCTGTTCCCGAACGCTCTGCTCTGCCCCCTGGTGGAAGGTGCAGGAATGACGCTACGGCGCTGCAGAGTCACTCACAGCACCGGCTCTCAGAGCAGAGTGAGCGGACAAGACTTTTTATTATTATTTTTATTATTATTATTTTTTTTTTATAGGTCGTACCGTTAGCAAAGTGGCAGTAATAACTCTGGACTTTTTGGGGTTAATATCGGTGGAAAGCAGTGTTAAACTGGGGTGCCCAAACTTTGTGGGCCATGATAAAAAATTCTCTCTCTCATTTCAGTCAGAAGTTTCAGAGACACACTATAAACAAACACATCTAATATACTCTTCAAAAATCTTACACTTTTATAACACTAAAATCAATGAAAAAAATGATGTTAGCATTTTTTCCTAATTGCGTGTCTAATATATATTGTTTTGTGAAATTTGTGAATCGTTACACTTCTATACTGAAAGTATTATTTTAAGAAAAAGTATAAAAATGTTTGTTTTGTCACTTTGGGGGTTGAGGAAACTCTGCCAGGCCAAATCACATGTCCTTACAACCTTGGCCTGCAGTACAGCTCTCTGTAAAATAACAGATTACTGCTTATTAGTGACCACAGTACAGTGGAAGTGGATCTTCATCCGTTTTAACCGACAGAGAGGAAATGAAAGTGTCTGTGTGTGTGTCTGTGTGTGTGTCTGTGTGTGTGTCTGTGTGTGTGTCTGTGTGTGTGTGAGAGTGTGTGTGAGAGTGTGTGTGTGTTTTGAGGTTTTGGTTGTGTGTTTCCTCTCAGTACAGTACAGTGTTACTTCTGTTTATTAGCTTTCACTGGAGCAAGATCCTCTGTATGGGCTTAAAAGGGGAATTCCACCGATCCTTCAAAACTCCCCCCATAATTCAGTGTGTGAGAGAGATTCAGAGTGGTTTGGTGTGAAATGGTTCAGATGTCTTTACAGTGGTGGTGATAGGAACCAGGGGTCGCCATGACTACAACACAAATATAGACATTTTATTTACTATCCAGAACCACCAGTGAACCTACACGAGTCTTCTGAGTTTATATGAATGTTGATGATGGAAAATAGTGGAAAATCTGAAATAATAAGTTTTCTTTGGGGACTATTTTGCCTCACAGCGCCCTGCATGTATCCCTCCACCATGAATGGAGTTTAAGTTCTCAAATCTATCATAAAACAGTGTCTCAGTCATCAGGCAGTGAATTCATAACCATTTCATGTAGGAACTTTCTGTGAGGGAGCTTTTAGAGGTGGACGTCTGGTTCCTATCACCACCACTGTGAACAGTTCTGACTCGGTAAGTTTCTCTAGAACGGAGCGTTTCACACCAAACCACTCTGAACGACTCTGTTTACATCTTAACCGTTTAGTTATGTAGGGATTTTTAAAAATCTGAAATTCCCCTTCTGTACTGCAGTGGTGATGGTCACTGTATTGTGTTGAAACGATAGTTCAGCCAAAACTCAGATGCAGTCCATCAGCTGAGACATGTTAATGCAAGTTGAAAGGGCACTTTTACAACACATGTTGTAAACGTGTGAGTAAACTGAGCAGTGTTTGTTTGTGTGTGTGTGTGTGTGTGTGTGTGTGTGTGTGTGTGTTAGGGAGAGCGTGTATTAGGCTGGCTGTTGGTGGGTGATGGCGCCCCCACTGTCCGAGTGCTGCCGCTTCATCGCTGCCAAACGCACTGCAGCTCCTTCAACCTGTGGCTCAGTCCAGGAGATCTAGGTGAGTATGCACACACACACACTGCATGTATTAGATGTAATTAGCCATATTACAAGCTATAGAAATAATCTCAGATTCTATTAATCCAGTGCTAAAAATTGAGCAGTAGAAATAACCTCAGATTATCTTAATCCTGTACTATTAAACAAACAATAGTAATAACCTCAGATTTTATTAATCCTGTACTATAACACAAGCAGTAGAAATAACCTCAGATTATATTAATCCCGTGCTATAAACGAGCAGTAGAAATAACCTCAGATTATATTAATCCCGTGCAATAAAAGATGTAGAAATAACCTCAGATTATATTAATCCCGTGCTATAAAACACGCAGTAGAAATAACCTCAGATTATATTAATCCCATGCAATAAAACAAGCTGTAGAAATAACCTCAGATTATATTAATCCCGTGATATAAAACGAACAGTAGAAATAATCTCAGATTATATTAATCCTGTGCTATAAAATGAGCAGTAGAAATAATCTCAGATTTTATTAATCCTGTGCAATAAAATAAGATGCAGAAATAATCTCAGATTATATTAATCCTGTGTAATAAAACAAGATGTAGAAATAATCTCAGATTATATTAATCCCATGCTATAAAACAAACAGTAGAAATAAAATCGGATTATAATAATCCTGTGCGAATTGACATGTCGGTAAAACACTATAATATTCTCTGGAAAAGGAGTTTCTTAAATTCGGAGGCTTGAAGAAGAGTTTACTTGAGTTCTCTGTGGCTAAAATCAGGCCGATATGTAACGTTACTGTCCTACTTCTCGTGTACAACTCAGAACATGTAAAATTGCAGAGAAATTTTGATTTTATGCAGTGAAGTTGACTCTCTGTTGTGAATTCCTGGCTAATGGCAATGCCAATGATGCACTGCATTCACTTCAGACAGCAAATGGTTCAAGCAGCGGCCTCCGAACCTGATGCTGGAGATCCGCCTTCCTGCAGAGTCCAGTTTCAACCATAATCTGTCACACCTGCTCCAGCTAATCAGCCTCTTCCCAGGTCCCTGATTAGAGTTCAGTGAGGGGCGGGGCAGCTCATCGAATACAGGTTGGAACTGAGCTCTGCCGGAAGGTAGATCTCCAGGGCCAGAGCTGGAGACCACTGGGTTAGGGTAAAAGAAATAGCAGCTAAATTAAATGTTTTGAGGTGTGTAAATGAAGTGTCCGCAAATCCCTGAGGTAAACTGCATTGTCACCTCCCCATAGGAAACTGATCTCATCCCAATATGACTTTAGGAATTAATTGCACTTGTTAATTTATTTTTCTGTATTTCTCTGATTGACAGTGTACGCAGATCCGCGCTACTGGCAGCTGGAGCTTTTCCCTGGCCGAGGGGAGAACATAATGTGTGACGGATCAGCGCTCTGAGAGGAGGAATCCAGAAAGAAAGGGATAGAGAGAGAGTGAGAGAGAGTGAGAGAGAGTGAGAGAGAGTGAGAGAGAGTGAGAGAGAGTGAGAGAGAGAGAGAGATATTTCGCTGCTGGATTCTGTAAGCTGCACAGGCTGCATATGTGGAGCCGGAACTGATGCTAATGCTAAACGATCGAGATCGTCACGAGGGAGTTTAAGAAAGACCACCGTGACCTGCTGTTGCCAAGAGCGCTCAGAGCCAACGAACGAGAGAATGTACTGTACTGTTTTAAATTCAGCCAGATGTGATTGATTAACTGTTGCTTTAATTGTAAAGTGGGAACATGTTTTGAAAAATCACATTTTTGTCCACATGCTGAAACGCTAATGACGATAGCGTGTCCGTTTGCTTGCTAGTGAACAGTTACGATCTCAAAAAGACACAAATATGTGACTTAAAGCGGATCAAAACGCCTCTTAAAACACAAGTTCAGACAAAAATCAGGCCCCCCCCCAACAAAGAAGTTTTCTTTGTTAGTTTTAGCTCTGGAGCTACGAGGCTAATGCAGCTAACATGTAATGGAAGCATAATACCCCAGCATTAGCATTGTGCTAACTGCATGACTGAAGTATCACACCCTTGTGGAGTCGATTCATCTCAAAAAGACTTGCTAACTTCAGACATCAAACATGTCCCGACTGATCGACTGAGTTTGGACGTGAGTGGGGAAACTGGGTGAATGTGATTTTTGGCTGAACTGTCGCTTTAAATCTTTTCCTTTGATTTATAAATGGTTTCTTCGATATGTACGTGCTGTGTGCCAGCGCTAAGCTCTCTGAGGCGAAGCCACCACTGCCATAGTTTTTCATGTTTGCCTGCATGGTTTCTTCCTGTTGCCTCTTGCAAAAATAACCCCTAAAAAGCACTTTAAGATTTGTTGGCATTGTGCATCGATGTGCCGACACTGTTTCTCCATCGTTCCCCTTTATATCTCCTTTATCTTCTCGTCTATGTGTCTGTAAGCACACAGTTGCTGTACTTTTCCTTATACTCGTCAGTATTATCTGCTCCTCATATTCCTTCACTAAGACGAAGTTTGGACATTCTGGATGAGAACCAGGAATGCTGAAAGGGAATTCCACTGATTTTTTCAAAGTTCCCACATAATTCAGTGTGTGAGGTGTAAACAGAGAGATTCAGAGTGGTTTGGTGTGAAATGGTTCAGATGTCTTAACAGTGGTGGTGATAGGAACCAGGGGTCGCCATGACTACGACACAGATATAGACATTTTATTTTCTATCCAGAACCACCAGTGAACCTACACGAGTCTTCTGAGTCTATATGGAATGTTGATGATGGAAAATAGTGGAAAATCTGAAATAATAAGTTTTCTTTGGGGACTATTTTGCCTCACAGCGCCCTGCATGTATCCCTCCACCATGAATGGAGTTTAAGATCTCTAAACTATCATAAAACAGTGTCTCAGTCATCAGGCAGTGAATTCATAACCATTTCATGTAGGAACTTTCTGTGAGGGAGCTTTTAGAGGTGGACGTCTGGTTCCTATCACCACCACTGTGAACAGTTCTGAAGTTTCTCTAGAACGGAGTGTTTCACACTAAACCACTCTGAGCGACTCTGTTTAGATCTTAATGATTGAGTTATACAGAATTTTTTGAAAAATCAGTGGAGCTCCCCTTTAGCTTCAAGTTCAGTGGTAAAATGCTAACATAGCCACAATTAGCATCATATAAAAGACTTAAAGCTAACTAGTGGCTACCAAATGATGAGTAGCTGCTAGTTAGCATGGTGTCATTTTGCCAGTTAGCGCTATGCTAACTTGTCAGCTTTCTTTCGCTGTTAGCCGCGTTAGCATGCTCGGTCACCCCACTCCATTAAATCTGTTCTCTGCACATCGTTTTTCCTCAGACTGTTGCAGATTATGTTTGTGGCTTGTTATTTACAGTATGGAGCTGATACTGCTGATAAGTAATCAGTTTATTTTGAATAAGATGTTTATAATGATGAATAAATAAATAAATAAATAAATAATGATATGAATCTAAGATGGTGATTCTGGCACTACTGCGGGATTTCTAATGTAAACAAACGCTGCTGTTTATAAAGGTTTTCCTCTCTGAAATCCTCTTGTGTTTCTTGTGTTTCCTTTATGAATATTTTAGCATTTAAGACAAAGAAACAAAGCAGTTATCAATGTGCGTCACAGCCGTGCTGTGACAGAGGGGGGTATTTTAGGACGAACTGCCCGACCTGCACCCTGTTAACGTTAAGCTTAAACCTCCTAATGTCAGTTTTTAACAGTTAATTGTGAGAATACTCTGAACACTGTAATTACGTGAACTGTTCTCTCTGTATCTTTAGTGTGTGGCGGGTGAAGGTTGTGTTTAATAGTCCCTGTCAAGGACGCAGAAAAACAAAAGCTCATAAATGTTGAACGACTCGGCTCCTCTACAGGCGACGTGACATGAAATTATTTTTATGGTTAAACATTTTGGCTTGACAGAGTGCAAAGCAAAACTCAAGTACACAGCTAACTTAAAATTAAAAGCGTTTATATTCATTTAATATATTTTGTGTTAATGTACATATACGTTTAATCATGGAAAATGACGTGAAAATGACTTTTATTTTGTAATATTTGAGGTGGAACTTCAATGATGGTCTATATGGATATGTAAAATTTCTATAAAATATATATATAATTACATGCTTTTTTCACTTAAACGTTTTCATGCACTTTTATCGTGTTAACAATGAAGTTTAAAGTAATATTTAGTATATTTTAGAAAAGGGATTATGCCATGCATAGTTATTGTATTGATTAGTGTAGGTTTAAGTTTATCTTTTACACTTAAATTCCCACTCACAAAAAGTTATAAAATCACGAAAAATAAATGACTATTTGAGTTGTATTTTATAATGTGATATGCGTTGAGTATATATATTGGAACTCATGTAATCTTAAATATATTAACTATCCAATAAAAACGGTGTAGGGAGATTATAAAGGGCACCTGAATCATAATCATTAGTATTATTATTCTTATTTGAGTGAGTGAATTTATCAGTTGTTTTTATTAATTAATATTTTATCAATATTTTGTATTTTTCTTCTGTTATTATTAATATTTGGAACTTTAAGTAAATTAACTCGTCCTGTTTTATTAGTATTTTATATATTATTTTGTATTTTCTATATATTATTTTGTATCTGTATTATTATTATTATTATTATTACTAGTATTATTAATATTAACATTATTATTATGTGATTGGGTGAACTTGTCCATGTTTTATATTTGTTAGTATTTTTATATGATTTTGTTTTTTTGTTGTTATTATTTAGAACTTTATTTAAGTAAATTAACTCGTCATATTTCAATAGTATTTTATTTATTATTTTGTATTTTTTATATATTATTTTGTATCTCTATTATTATTATTATTATTGTTATTATTATTATTATTGTTATTACTATTATTATTATTATTAACATTATTATTATGTGAGTGGGTGGACTTGTCCATGTTTTTTATTTATTAGTATTTTTATATTATTTTGTTTTTTTGTTCTGTTATTATTTAGAACTTTATTTAAGTAAATTAACTCGTCATATTTTAATAGTATTTTATTTATTATTTTGTATTTTTTATATATTATTTTGTATCTCTATTATTATTATTATTGTTATTATTGTTGTTATTATTATTGTGTGAGCGGGTTGTCCGTGTTTTGTATTTTATCAGTATTTTATATGGTTTTGTGTTTTTCTCTGTTATTGTGATGATTACTCTGTGAGTGACTGAACTCATCCATGTTCCGGGGCTCATGGCGGTGAGTAGCTATCCCAGTTTGCGCTGCAGCAGAGGGAGAGATGGGATAGAAAATGGGGGAGAGCTGGAGCTAAACTCGGCAGTAGCCGCGAATCGGAGCTCATTAAAGTTCGTCCGAATCTGAAAATCCGAAAAGCAGGCTGTGAAACTGAAGCGGGTGGTGTTTGCTGCGCTGTAGCCGCTCAGATTGAGGCGCTGCTCGGAGAAAAGCGGCCTTCTGCCCTCAGACAGGCTTCAGTTAGCCTAGCCGCTAACAGCAGGTCCGAGCGATAAAAAGCGGGTTTACCGCGCTTTGGAAATAAAACACCCGGGTTTGCTTCGCTTTGTGTTCAGTTTCACACATCACGGTCTTACTTTCAATCTGGTTCGATCGCTGTCTTCAGATAGACGCGGGTTAGCGACGCTAAAACGCGGCTACAGCCTGTTAGCTGCCCGAAGTTAGAGTTGGATTCTTGTCCGAATTTTTTCGGTCCACCTTAAATGGTGTAGTAGTAACGTTTTGGCACATGGACACGCGGGTGTAACTGCTGTGCTGTTTAAGGTGGACCGGGTATTTAGCGTCGTGTTAGCTGCTGACATTGTGCGACTCTGAGTGTCGAAACTGAACTACAGAGTCTTTAATAACTGCTGGAGCGAAAGTGGTTCAGTTTTTATACAGTTGGTGTGTTTTAACCTTAAAAACAGCTCTGTCTGTTAATTAAACGGCCTGAACTAAACTAACCCCATCATAAGCTACTTAATAGCATGTTTGTCCTTAGCCAACAGCACCAAGTGTTGTAGCTACCTCTGAACTTTCTGCATGACAGTCTGTACAGTATGACATGAAGCTATGGCTTTAGGCCCCTGAGGGCAAGTCCACTGATTTTCACAATTTCAGCACGATTAAATGAATGAATTAATAATATAAAGATATAAACATAAAAGATATTAAAAAATAAGTAAAGATATAAACACCCTGCTGAAAAAGACAATTAGAAACCATTTTAATGGGAATTGGCTTAGTGATTTCCAATAGAGACCACTAGTTTCCTGTAGAACGCTTTTAGATCCCATTAGGAAGCCATCAAATGCATTGAGAATCAGCCTTTTAAACCTTAAACCATTAGGATCCTTTACACTGTAATATCAACCCATTAAAAAAGCCAAAACACATTACAAAACCATCAGGAACCAATAGAAAAACAATGCTTTCTATGAGTTTTTTCAGCAGGACGGAGCTGTTCAGAGTGGTTTGGTGTGAAACGCTCCGTTCTAGAGAAGCTTACTGAGTCAGAACTGTTCACAGTGGTGGTGATAGGAACCAGACGTCCACCTCTAAAAGCTCCCTCACAGAAAGTTCCTACATGAAATGGTTATGAATTCACTGCCTGATGACTGAGACACTGTTTATGATAGTTTAGAGAACTTAAACTCCATTCATGGTGGAGGGATACATGCAGGGCGCTGTGAGGCAAAATAGTCCCCAAAGAAAACTTATTATTTCAGATTTTCCACTATTTTCCATCATCAACATTCCATATAGACTCAGAAGACTCGTGTAGGTTCACTGGTGGTTCTGGATAGTAAATAAAATGTCTATATCTGTGTTGTAGTCATGGCGACCCCTGGTTCCTATCACCACCACTGTAAAGACATCTGAATCATTTCACACCAAACCACTCTGAATCTCTCTGTTCACACCTCAACAAATGAATTATGCACAAATTCTGGAACCCAGTGGAATTCCCTTTAAATGGAGAGTCGTGCAGCATACGGTTGAATTCCAAATGACTTTTTATTTGACCTAAAATGCACTAATGGAGTGTTATTTTATAACCTGGGGGCAGCCGTTTCTGATTCAGCCCATAGCATAGCGCGCCGGGCTACAGCCCCTTTTGACAACCAGAGGTTTTTCCACACAGCCAAGAATGAATGTGTTGGTTTTGTGACATCACAAACATCATGAAATCAGAACAGCCTGTTTTGAAAGTAACAATATTTACATATATTGACTTGTGTGTTATTGTTCTGAGCACACCGTTGAAGATACTACTCCGTCTATACACACATCAAACTCCTTCATTCAAAAAAAGTGAGGATAAAATCATTTTTTTCATGATAAGGGCTCTTTGAAGTCTTCTCTTCTGAAGTCACTGTTTCTGAGATAGCAGGTAGAAGGGTTTAGGGGAAGTGAATAAGGGTTGTTTGAGTATTTAGGACACAGGTGGGTCTGGAGCAGGACTGTGTGCTGGACTGTGACCCTGTATGTGTGTGTGTGTGTGTGTGTGTGTTGTATAGGTAGTGTGTGTGCAGTAGGATGGAGAGTTTGGGGCTGCAGGCTGTAGCTCTGAGTGATGGCTCCACCGCCTACATCCAGCAGGCGATTAACGGTGAGACAGAATCCACATCACAGTCTGGACTTGTTATTTTCATGTGCCGGAAGTACAACGGAATACTGAGCTGCTTCTCTCAGACCTCCACAATAAATACAGTAACGTTCAGTGAGAATACATGATGACAACACAGACAGCATTACAGTTACTTAACGTCTACGTGCACAGTGTTTGTATTTTCATGTCACGACTAAAGGTACCAAACACAGCCTAAAACACAACTAAAGGTACCACACACAGCCTAAAACGTGACTAAAGGTACCACACACAGCCTAAAACGCACCTAAAGGTACCACAGACAGCCTAAAACGCACCTAAAGGTACCACACACAGCCTAAAACACACCTAAAGGTACCACACACAGCCTAAAATGCAACTAAAGGTACCACACACAGCCTAAAACGCACCTAAAGGTACCACAGACAGCCTAAAACGCGACTAAAGGTACCAAACACAGCCTAAAACGCACCTAAAGGTACCACACACAGCCTAAAATGCAACTAAAGGTACCACACACAGCCTAAAACGCACCTAAAGGTACCACAGACAGCCTAAAACGCGACTAAAGGTACCAAACACAGCCTAAAACGCACCTAAAGGTACCACAGACAACCTAAAACACACCTAAAGGTACCACAGACAGCCTAAAACGCGACTAAAGGTACCACACACAGCCTAAAACATGAATAAAGGTGAGGCAGCACTTTTTATGTATATCATGAGTGGAATATGTCATGCTTTCTTTTATGTTTGTACTTTATGTTTGTACAGCTGTTTTAGCATATTATCTGAGCACCTTCACAGTGGCGAGACAGTAAGACAGAACTCTTCAGTATAGATACAGGGGACAAAAGTCAACTAACTTGAGTTGCTGTGTTCTCTCTCTCTCTCTCTCTCTCTCTCTCCCTCCTCTCTCTCTCTCTCAGACAGTAATCTGGTTGAAGGAGACACCATCCAGCTGGAGGACGGAACCACAGCATACATCCAGCAGGTCACAGTGCAGCAGAAAGGTCAGTTTGCATGATTTTATTTTTTTTAGGATAATAAACCAGCTCAGTGGCCAGAGTAAAGTAGTACATACATCACAGGTCAGTCTCTCTTATTCTCTGCTTTGTTCTCTTTCAGACACTCTGCCGTTTGAAGATGGTCAGGCGGTCCAGCTTGAGGACGGCACCACAGCCTACATCCACCGCACACCTAAAGGTAACATACACACGCAGCCTAAAACACACCTTAAGGTACCACACACAGCCTCAAACATGACTAAAGGTACCACGCGCAGCCTCGAACATGACTACAGGTACCACACGCAGCCTCAAACATGACTACAGGTACCACACGCAGCCTCAAACATGACTAAAGGTACCACACATAGCCTAAAACATGACTAAAGGTACCACACACAGCATAAAACATGACTAAAGTTACCACACATAGCCTAAAACATGACTACAGGTACCACACGCAGCCTCAAACATGACTAAAGGTACCACACATAGCCTAAAACATGACTAAAGGTACCACACACAGCATAAAACATGACTAAAGTTACCACACACAGCATAAAACATGACTAAAGGTACCACACATAGCCTAAAACATGACTAAAGGTACCACACACAGCATAAAACATGACTAAAGTTACCACACATAGCCTCAAACATGACTACAGGTGCCACACACAGCCTAAAACATGACTAAAGTTACCACACACAGCATAAAACATGACTAAAGGTACCACACATAGCCTAAAACATGACTAAAGGTACCACACACAGCATAAAACATGACTAAAGTTACCACACACAGCATAAAACATGACTAAAGGTACCACACATAGCCTAAAACATGACTAAAGGTACCACACACAGCATAAAACATGACTAAAGGTACCACACACAGCATAAAACATGACTAAAGGTACCACACATAGCCTAAAACATGACTACAGGTGCCACACACAGCCTAAAACATGACTACAGGTGCCACACACAGCCTAAAACATGACTAAAGTTACCACACACAGCATAAAACATGACTAAAGGTACCACACATAGCCTAAAACATGACTAAAGGTACCACACGCAGCATACTACACTATAGTATGGTATACTATGCAACACTATACTAATGGATATACTACTAACGGTGGTGAACTTTTGCGACACACTATTTAGTGCGGCGTTTGCTTTTGTGTGGCCGAAGTGTCTTTTTTTTTGCCGAAGTGTCTGACCTTTGACCTCTCTGAATGCAGATGGTTTTGACCCCGGTGCGGTGGAGGCGGTGCAGCTGGAGGATGGCAGCACAGCGTACATCCACCACCCATCAGCCCTGCAGCCAGGGAGCGCCATACTCACCGTACAGGCCGGGGGCGTGCTGGAGGAGCTCACTGCGGACCCCGACACCATCAGCACGCTGGAGAACTACTCTGCACGGGTCAGAAACCCGCACACAGAGCTTTAGTGCACAATAACCATAGTACTCATAACAGACAGCTCATATACCGCATTTAGCCCCACCCGCACAGTCTGATTGGTTGAAAAGTGTTTTTTTTGGGTTTTTTTTAACCACACCTGTACTGTTACACTGACCACTGGAAACAACATTGGTAGCACCATGGCCACTTGTGTGTAACTATTTTTTTAGGTAGAAAAAATCGCCAATATTCAAAAATAAGGATTACAGAATCTGTCTACCTACAGTATCTCAAGTTAGGACGTCCTAAACTACTCGATCGAGGTTGATAATGAGCTGTCATGTCTGTTGCCAAGCAGCCGACGATCCGTCCACAGCTGAAACGTAAACCCAAAACCAAAATAATGCTAAAAATGTAAGTTAGTTAGCTAGACAGCTGCTGTTATAGATGTAAAATACAACTAAGCAAAAGTGTGCTAAACTGTAAGTAGTGAATATTGTGAGAGCGCCCCCTGCTGTTTATCAGATCGTTGCCGCTCCTCAGTTTCAGTCTCCATTTCCCAAACGCTTTAGCCGAGCGCGCTAACGTTACTCCTCCTAATAAACGGACACACGTTCAGAACTTCAAAACTCCTTTTCCACAGAATATGATAGTGTTTTTACTGTTTATTCGCACGAGATTAACGTAATCTGGAGTTATTTCTACATCTTGTGTTATGGAAGGTAAAAGGCACTGGAATCTTTACTGATGCAGGAAAGCGCAGTCCGTAAAAATGACTGACGCTCTGCATTCTGACGGGACTAAACTCACTGAGAAACACCGGTAATAATTACATTACCCACCTCCTCATATAAAACTAATCCCACCCGAACAGGGCTTAAAACTGTTGTATGGAAGCAGCGGAGCGCTGGAGGTTGTGTGTTATGGTGAACGGAATCACGGCTGAGACGATCTACTGCGACCGAATCACAGTCCTGTTCTGTTTCTCAAATATTCAGCACATATTCTCTGTGTGGTGCAGCTGTCTTCCTCTTAGGCTCATATAATGTTGGTGATAATAATAACGGTGTTGTTAAAATGTGGACAGAAGTTTGTTTATTTATTTATTTGTTTATTTGTTTATTTATTGATTGTAGCAGGGACTAATTAACCCATGTGTCCAAGTTCACGGACAGTTATTGTTGATGATTAGAAACAGGCTGATGTGTTGTTTTACTGTGTGTGGTCTGTAGCTGACGAGTTCTAAGGTGGAGATGGATGAGAACAGTGCCGGGGCTAATGGAGTGAAGGTAAGTGCAGGTAAACCGGCTCTGTCCCAAATGCATTTACCTTCATACAGAGATGTACTTGGTCCGTCTCTGAGCACCACACACGTCACTCTCAGGGTGTTTCTCCTCTGAAAAGGTCTCAGAAGTCGTGTCGTCATTCTGTGTCGGTGTCACGCCCGTGTTAGGAACTCTGGATCTAAGCTGTTTATCTTCACAGAAAAAATAAACAGCATTTTATTAAATTGTCCTGGATCCTCTGAATTTTGGGATTATTAAGGAGTTAAAATGCTAATATTTCAACAACCAAGCTGACACTGCTGCACGCTGAAATGATGTCACATAAAAGTACGTCTACACTCTTAAAAAAGATGGTTCTTCAAGGGTTCTTTAGTAAAGACAGTGCTTCTATTCAGAACTCTGACTTTTATATAGAACCATTTCACTTGTTCTCTGCATGGTGAAATGGTTCTTCAGATTGATGGAGAATGTGTTGTATATGGTTCTACATAGAACCTTTTTGAAAATGGTTCTATATAGCACCAAAAAGACCAAAAAGGGTTCTCCTATTGTTACGATGTCAAGCTTGTAGCAATAGCAGAACCCCTTTTGGTGATGTTTAGAACTGTATACAACACATTCTCCTTCACTCTGAAGAACGATTTCACCATGCTAAGAACCAGTTAAGCATGCAAATGGTTCTTTGAGTGTTCATGGTACTAAAAAGAACCATTGTCTTTACTAAAGAACCCTTGAGAACCATCTTTTTATAGAGTGTATAGTAAATGTGTAATCTCAGGTTGATTTTTGTCACCTTTCAGTCGTTTTACTTCAGGTGTCCCCCAGGGGTCAGTATTGGGCCCCATCTTGTTTCTTTGTTTTTATATGCTTCCTGTGGGCAGTATTTCTCTCAGACTTAGTTTGTCTTCATTGTTTTTGCTGGCGACACACGTTTATTTTCAAACATAAACAAACTTATCGCTTGTCTTATCATCTGAAAATTTGGTTATTATTATTAGGCGTGGAATTCCTGTAAAACTCCTCAGGGGGAGAAAAGCTTCCAGTGCAGCTACGAGGGCTGCGGCCGACTCTACACCACGGCACACCATCTGAAGGTATAAACACACTCCTGGCCACTTCTTCACATTCACGATTGTTTTATAGCTTATCAGGAGCAACTGGGCTGCTTTTCACTTGATGGTGATGACAAACCATCAAAGATGTGAAGGACCATATCATGGAAAACTGAGTTTTCCTCACATTTTGGAGGATTTAAAAAAAAACGGTTTGATGTCCTTCTTAAACGTTGTTTCACATTAGTCCATATGTGGAAACTAAGCTGTGAAAACAGCCCCTTTTTAATTTATCATGGTTGTGATGTCATTCATTCATGAATGTCCATTTCAACCCACAGCAAATTAACCCCGCCCTACTGTTTTATTTATATTTATTATTTATATTAATAGTGTTTGTTATTTTATACATAGTAATTTCTTTGTAATACACTTTGGATTCATATATATCATAAACTCTTCACTGAAAAGCATTTTAAATGTTTTATTCAATGTTTCGAAAATTCTTTGCATAAGCATAAAATGATATATACTGTAATGAACTGTTTATTTGACTTGAGATTTGATCCCCCCTTTGGAAATATGATGAATTATGGATATGATTGTTTTTTTAATTCACAGCTGTCTGATTATCTGAAAGTTGTTCAGGACGAACAGATTACAGTAATTTTATACATTAATCTGAAACCTGGCTGGTTTTAGACTGTTGAAAACAGAGACTCTAATCCGTTGAACAGTGATGTGGATATAATGTGAATGTAAAATAGTATAAAAGAGCAGAACTGTGTGACGATTGTGCAGCTCTGACTCCTGTCCTGTACCTGTCCTCAGGTGCATGAGCGATCTCACACAGGTGACCGTCCGTACCGCTGTGAGATCCCCTCCTGCACTAAAGCCTTCTCCACCGGCTACGGCCTGAAGAGCCACCTGCGCACGCACACCGGAGAGAAACCCTACAAGTGTCCTGAGGACATGTGTTACAAAGCCTTCAAAACCTCCGGAGACCTGCAGAAGCACGTCCGCACGCACACAGGTGACACGCACACACACACACAGGTCACACACACACACAGGTAACATGCACATAGGTAATGTCAATGTTAACGCACACAGGTAACTGTCTCTCTCTCTCTCTCTCTCTCTCTCTCTCTCTCTCTCTCTCTCTCTCTCTCTGTCTGTCTGTCTGTAGGTGAGAAGCCGTTTAAGTGTCCGTTCGAAGGCTGTGGACGCTCCTTCACCACCTCCAACATCAGGAAGGTCCACATGCGCACGCACACGGGCGAGAGACCGTACCTGTGTCCAGAGCCGGCGTGTGGACGAGGCTTCGCCAGTGCCACCAACTACAAAAACCACATGAGGATACACACGGGTACACACTCCGCACGGCACACACTCCTCACTGATCTGAGAGACATGACTCTGAATGAGTCATGAATTCATAAATTAGATATTATTATCTGCAGACTATAGAATATAATATTCATCATTCACTGCATCTATAATAGACACAGGATGTAATAATATGACAGCACAGTCAAAACACAGTAGTGGTCGATCAACATAGAGCTCTATTAGTTTAATAATGTCACTGTGCCCGAGTAGACAGTGGGCACAATTTTGAGCTTGTATTTTGTTAGTTTGAGAGATAAAGAGGCTTTAAAAAGTGGGCGTGGCCTTATTTTCTGCCATAAAGTAATTGTAAAACGTTTGAATTTTGTAGTAAGCTTTAACTTTTGAACTATCAATACTAGATGCATGAAATTCTCAGGGATTATACTTTGTTTAATGCTTAAAACAGAAGATACAGACATGCAGGTTTGCCAGATTTTGCTGCAATGTATTGTGTCTCTATGTTTTTTGTTAGTTCCTCTGTATCTCCACACAGAGAAGCCCCTCAGATATTTTAAGTTTGGGAATGGATTTGCATAATTATGATACAATTTAAAAGATTTCTGATTTAAAATGAAAACCTCACGCTTACATTTCAAATGCATGTTTTTCTGCATGGAGGCAGATTTACTCTACGAAGCCCGGCTGATGACATCCTGTATGAATAAAAATAACGCGTGGACATGAGTGGCCACGACTTAGTAAGGTGTGGGAACGAGATCATGCCTTATTAAGCTGTGGCCAAGGCTTAATTATCTCACTCGCACACCTTACTACGTCATAGCCATACATTAAGATCTTGTTCCCACACATCACTACTGTTGGCCAGGACTTAATTATCTCGTTCCCATGCTTTAATAAGTCGTGGCCACGCATTATTATTATTTATACAGTATGATCACCAGCAGGGCACTGTATTACTCTCTGTACTGTGATGTAAAAGTTATTATATTTGACTTCAAAAATAAATGAAAAACATTTTAATGATGTAAAGAAATGACTGACTCTCTCTCTCTCTCTCTCTCTCTCTCTCTCTCTCTCTCTCTCTCTCTCTCTCTCTCTCTTTCTCTGTGTCTCTGTAGGTGAGAAGCCGTATCTGTGTACGGTTCCCGGATGTGGGAAGCGTTTTACGGAATACTCCAGTCTGTATAAACACCACGTCGTTCACACGCACTGCAAACCGTACAGCTGCAACCACTGCGGGAAAACCTACCGACAGACCTCCACGCTCGCCATGCACAAACGCACCGTACACGGAGACTACGCCGAGGGTACCACACACACCTCACACTGAGACTCCAGCACCGTCCACACCCAGAACCCACACACTTTATACCGGCAGCGTTCAGGCTTTGTGTCACTCACACATAGGGATGGATATCGTTAGGATTTTATCAATACCAATACTGCCTATTGATACCAATACTTATCGATACTCTTATTGATACTACTCTCCATGATTTGGTGCAGAAAACAGACCTGACATGAAAAGATGTGAAAAGATCAAAATCAAAATATTACAACCATAATCAAAACAAAAGTAGTTACCCCAGTTATCAGGACGGCTCACGCGAAACTCAAACTTGGGCTACCTATCGGTTAGCGATTTATGCTATGCTAGCTACCAAATTTTAATTCAGAACAGACTCAGTTTATAATTAGCACTCGGTTATTTACACCCGCCAGGGCATTAATACTGATATTATTACTGTTATTATAGCTTAATATGACAATTTACTGGAAGTACAAGAGTTTCTAACTGTGTGTGTGTGTGTGTGTGTGTGTGTGTGTGTGTGTGTGTGTGTGTAGAGACGGAGGCTATAGAGTCTACTCAGCAGCAGCAGGGTGTGTATGCAGAGGGGTCGGAGCAGAAGGAGGAGTCTCAGGCTGTCATGGAGACCGACGATGTCATTGGCTCTCAGGTAGTTTCAATCATTCATGGGCGGAGAAGTGAGTCAGTGTTACTGAGCGCGCTTCAAATGTCTTGAATGCAGCCTGCGTAGGGCACTTACAAGGCGGCACACTAAGGCCCAGTCCCATTTCTTATTTTTACCCCTTGTTTTCGAGTGTTGCCCCTTGTTACTGAGTTACAGGGTAGTGGTTGAAATCCTCCCTCTGAAATGGGACCCTCAAATAAAAAGAGCATCACTTCATTAACAGCTACCAGCGCTGCTCTGTAGGCGACCCTGCCAGTCTGCAGTGACAGCAGAGGAGGGTAAAGTTCAGCTCCTCACTGCTGGGCTTTAGTTACATTTAGGGCATCATATGATCTTCAAAGAGGGGGGCAATTATTTATTATCACCCACCCCTAATTCTTCAGTGATATGAAGCTGAAGTCAGATATTCACCAGCTTCTTGTTCGGATTTTCCTGTTTCGCCTCAAATGGAGCAGCAGTTCTGACGGCTGAGGCTCCAGAATGGAACTGCTGCACCGTTTAAGGTGGAACAGGAAATTTAGCTGCCAAGATGTCAGCAGTGCTGTTAGGGATTTTTTATGCTTGTTATGAAGAAAATGACCATAATACACTGAAATGACATTAAACTAAGAGAATATGATGGTTATTGTGATTTTTAACAGAGAAAATTCTCACATTTGTGGGTTTCTTTGATCTCTTGTTCAGCCATCTTTTTGATTTTTCTTTTTTCCTCATAACTCTCTGTTTGGAGTCTCTGAAAATCCTCTGTTTGGAGGGTCATGTAGCCCCAACACTTCACCACCCCCCCCCTCTATCTCAGCAAGAATCAGGACACCCTACCCTAGACGAGAACACGCAGAACAGAGGGGTAGTGCTGAGTGGTAGAGGTGGCGAGGGGTGAAATGGGACGGGGCCTCAGAGTAGCCATTACAAACATTGTTCCGAATTGAAGGGATGAACTGATGGACACTTTGCTCCCAGGATGCTTTGCAGGGGTAATCAGCTTTAGTAGAAGAGCGCGTCACAAATATTCATCACTGATTCTGATTCTAGTTTCTTTACAGCTATTTTTTTTTATTTGCCTTATTATTTTATTTTGTTGTTTTTTATGCCCAAAAGCTCTGTGAGCGACACACTTTCAGTACTTTCCATCAGCCAAGTCACAATCTAAAGCCTGTAAAATGCTGTTCAGGCCAGCTTTGTGCAAATGTTTGGGCACCCACCCTCTGTGTCATGTCGACGTGTGTTCTACGTGATTCAGACGAGATGATAATAATAATGATGTGCAATTTTACTCATTTTAGCCTCATTTAGTTTCATTTTTGGCTGCCTGTGTGTTACAGGTCAATCTGACCGCTGAAGATCTACAGGCTCTGACCGCTGGCATTACCATGGTAGCGCAGGACGGCACCACCATCACCGTGCCCGCCCACCAGGGCATCCTGAGCGGCAGGCAGCAACACGTCGCCATGGTTACTCGAGACGGCAAGGAGCTGCAGCAGGTGGGCTTTCACACTGCAGATTAGATTCAGTTGCATTAGACTTGATTAGAGATTAGATTTATATCAACAATGAGCAAAATTGTTTTGTGCAAAAATAATAATAATAATAATAATAATAATAATAATCATTTCAAACAGCTAATAACTAACCATTCTGCTCTCTTTCTCTCCTTCAGGTTGCTATAGTAACATCAGACGCCATCATGTCAGCCGGGTCAGGGATGAGCTCTCCTCAGTGTCAGCAGGTGGCGCTGTTGGCCACGGCAAACGGCACACAGATAGCAGTGCAGGTTCGTGCTTCTCCTGAACGTTAGCGCACAGGCAGACGCTACAGCACCTTATTCAGCGCCTGTCAAGTTTGAATGAATGTAAATTTGCAAATTTAATAAAATCAAATTCCATCAGTCCAATCTGCAGAATTACTGTGATGTACAGTATTATCATCATCCAAATCCACTAATTAAGTGCCACATGGGCGTGTCCCCCTGATGATGATGTAATTACTATGGGCTGCATCTAATACTGCTGAATAATCTGTATTGATAACTGTATTGTGCACGGATTGCATGTCCTTTCTTCTGGACAAGCTCGTCCATTTTACTGTCCACTAAGGGGAGTAGACCCCACGTCCAGAAGTTTCTGTGTTATGTTATTATTGTTGTATGTTATTATCTTTTCTTGTGGTGTTCAGAGTATGCGTGCATTGCTAATTAGTTAAATTGTTTGTAGAGTCTATAATTTAGTGTGTTCTTTTATATCGCATACATTGTTGAAATAACAAAAATTACAATAATTGTACAAAATGAATGGTCAAATAATAACAAAGCAATGAAAAAAAAGAAAACAACAATATTTTGTGTGACGTCAGCGTCACAGCATTCAATAATATTAATTAGCAGCTCGCGGCTCCTACTGTTCTTAGCTCCGCGGCTTATAATCTTAGTCATTATAATTATATTACTGATCAATTTTAATATACAAAATGTACCATTTATACCGATCAGCCATAACATTCTGACCACCTCCTTGTTTCTACACTCATTGTCCATTTTATCAGCTCCACTTACTATATAGGTGCACTTTGTAGTTCTACAGTTACAGACTGTAGTCCATCTGTTTCTCTGATACTTTGTTAGCCCCCTTTTACCCTGTTCTTCAGTGGTCAGGACCCCCATGGACCCTCACAGAGCAGGTACTATTTGGGTGGTGGATCATTCTCAGCACTGCAGTAACACTGACGTGGTGGTGGCGGTGTGCTAGTGTGTGTTGCGCTGGTGCGAGTGGATCAGACACAGCAGTGCTGCTGGAGTTTTAAAGCACTGTGTCCACTCACTGTCCACTCTATTAGACACTCCTACCTTGTCGGTCCACCTTGTAGATGTAAAGTCAGAGACGATAGCTCATCTGCTGCTGCACAGTTTGTGTTGGTCATCCTCCAGTCCTTCATCAGTGGTCACAGGACGCTGCCCACAGGACGCTGTTGGCTGGATATTTCTGGTTGGTGGACTATTCTCAGTCCAGCAGTGACACTGAGGAGTTTAAAAACTCCAGCAGCACTGCTGTGTCTGATCCACTCAGACCAGCACAACACACACTAACACACCACCACCACGTCAGTGTTACTGCAGTGCTGAGAATGATCCACCACCCAAATAGTACCTGCTCTGTGAGGGTCCATGGGGGTCCTGACCACTGAAGAACAGGGTAAAAGGGGGCTAACAAAGTATCAGAGAAACAGATGGACTACAGTCTGTAACTGTAGAACTACAAAGTGACCCTATATAGTAAGTGGAGCTGATAAAATGGACAATGAGCGTAGAAACAAGGAAGTGGTCAGAATGTTATGCCTGACCGGTGTATATCATGTGTGTCAGGCTCCAGTCCTCACGGGCCAAAACACTGCAGACCTCAGTTCACTGCCTCATTAAACACACCTGATTCAGTTCATCAGCTAATTAGCAAGACCTTCTTTAACTGAATTCAGTGTTAGAGGAGGGTAAGCGCTGATCTCCACAGCACTTTGGACCAGAAGCTCCCAGTTTGACATGACTTGAATAAATAGTTACTGTTATTATCGTTGTTATTACTGTTGATCAGCTGGAGGAGCAGCAGACGTTAGAAGAAGCGATCAGCATGGCCACTGCGACCATACAGCAGGGACTGACCCAGGATCAGGCAGAACCCTGACCGCATCATCCACAGAAGTGACCCAGGATCAGCCAGAACCCTGACCACAGCATCCACACAACTGACCCAGGATCATCCAGAACCCTGACCACAGCATCCACACAGCTGACCCAGGATCATCCAGAACCCTGACCACAGCATCCACACAGCTGACCCAGGATCATCCAGAACCCTGACCACAGCATCCACACGACTGACCCAGGATCAACCAGAACCCTGACCACAGCATCCACGCGACTGACCCAGGATCAACCAGAACCCTGACCCAGGATCAGCCAGAACCCTGACCACAGCATCCACACGACTGACCCAGGATCAACCAGAACCCTGACCACAGCATCCACGCGACTGACCCAGGATCAACCAGAACCCTGACCACAGCATCCACACGACTGACCCAGGATCAACCAGAACCCTGACCACAGCATCCACGCGACTGACCCAGGATCAACCAGAACCCTGACCACAGCATCCACACAACTGACCCAGGATCAACCAGAACCCTGACCCAGGATCAGCCAGAACCCTGACCACAGCACCCACACAACTGACCCAGGATCAGCCAGAACCCTGACCACAGCATCCACACAACTGACCCAGGATCAACCAAAACCCTGACCACAGCATCCACACAACTGACCCAGGATCAACCAGAACCCTGACCCAGGATCAGCCAGAACCCTGACCACAGCATCCACGCGACTGACCCAGGATCAGCCAGAACCCTGACCACAGCATCCACACAACTGACCCAGGATCAGCCAGAACCCTGACCACAGCATCCACACAACTGACCCAGGATCAGCCAGAACCCTGACCACAGCATCCACACAACTGACCCAGGATCAGCCAGAACCCTGACCACAGCATCCACGCGACTGACCCAGGATCAGCCAGAACCCTGACCACAGCATCCACACAACTGACCCAGGATCAGCCAGAACCCTGACCACAGCATCCACACAACTGACCCAGGATCAGCCAGAACCCTGACCACAGCATCCACACAACTAACCCAGGATAAGCCAGAACCCTGACCACAGCATCCACACAACTAACCCAGGATAAGCCAAAACCCTCACCGCAGCGTCCACAGAACTGCCCAGTCAGATCTGATATCTGGTCTCAGGTCAGTGTTTTAGGGCAGTGGTTCTCCCAGGAGGTCTTTCATAAGGCAGAACTTCTCCAGTTGGTAAGATAAGCCCAAAATAACGACTGACCGATATGAGAAGAGGGTCATTCTGATTGGATGGTCCTTACTTTGGGCTTCAGTGATCCAGCTAACTGAGAAATCCTGCTTTGTGAAACACCATCACTGCTTCTGTGTGTGTGTGTGAGTGTGTGTGTGTGTGTGTGTGTGTGTGTGTGTTTCGGAGCTGAAGTGTTTTTTCAAAATCAATTAAGTTAATATACAGACGAGTTTTCAGGTATGTTGTTAATAATGTGTACAGTTGTAAATAAAAATAACAGATGAATAAATGAGCTTTACACTCTGAGTTTCTCCGCATTGTGTCTGTATGTTTATTCCGTTATTATTACAGTGTTTACTGGATGTTGGGCCTCAAACCGACCAGCAGGGGGCGCACTTACCCACACAATCACTTCACTAGTGATTTGAGTGAGTTGCTGAGTTGGGACTTTTACTTCCTCAGTCCCTCAAAACCGTTTTGAAATCATAAATTTTCATATTTGTGTCACTTCCCCCTTTTTTGATTGTAAAGTTTCATTGAATTTTCAGGTGAAGTTACAAAAGAGGCACATAAACCATTAGAACAGATCACATAAAGCAGGATAATAATCAGACTTTATTGATACGGCACCTGTCAAACAAATCAAACTGCAATTCACAGTGCTTTAGAAGTGACTGACAACGTCTGATAAAACACAGTATTAAAATGGATTTAGAGACTAAAATATGCACAGTTTAAGAAGACAACAATAAAAATGGGTGGTTAAGAGAATAAAAGACAAATAATAAAAGATATTACGAGCTATAGAAACACAAAATTGTGAAATAAGATGCAAAATAAATTATGATAAAACAGTAAAATGCTAACCAAGTAAGATGGTGTAAAATAAAATTGATTACTAGTAAAATGTTAGGAAAATAGAACAAAATAAATAAATAATAATGCTGATAAATTCAGTGTAAATAATACATTTATAATAATAACTTCAGGGTTACATCTGTGCACTCCTCACTTTATCTTATAAAAATAAGTAAATATAAATAAAGTTTGAGAGGAAAAAAACTCTAAGTTGTTCCTGCAGCTGCTGCTCAGGTTCTCAGTTTGGGTCAGTTCTGACCACACCAGATTCCTTCAGACCTGATTAGAGCCCCGTTCGGTTCTGCTCAGTGAGCTTTGTGATTTTGTAAGAAGGTGTTTCTTCCTTTCTGACTGATAAAACTACAAAAGATCTGATTTATTAATCAGGTTGAACTGGTTGATAAAGTGCCTGTGGCGTTTTACTGCTGCTCTTTTACTCACATTTTGTTTTATTTGTCTCATATTTTGTGTTAAATTGTTTTATTACTGCCAGATTAATCTTAATATTGAGTTTGTGTTCTTTAATTTTCATGTTTTTTTCATATCTGCGCTGTGTTTATGCTGGTGTCTCTTGTGGTCGCTGCTCTGTTCCGCTTCTGCTATTCCTCTGTTCTCCCTCAACAACAGCCTCTGATTGGCTGAGCCGTGGTGACATCACGTCCCACCAGCAGCCAGTAGCTGCAGAGAGGAAGGGGAGGTGTGTTTGTGTGGGGGAGGGAGTTTCCTCTGTTCCACTCTGTGTGTGTGTGTGTGTGTGTGTGTGTGTGTGCGCGCGTGTGTGTGTGTGTTTGTGTGTGTATGTGTGCCAGGTTTATGCTACATTGTGGGGACGTCTCTTCCTTGTTGGGGACCTCAAGCAGGTCCCCACAATGTAAATCATAAACTTTAAGTTGAAAATATGTTTTAAGCTAAGGGTAACGTTAAGGTTAGTGTTAAGGTCAGGGTTAGGATTAGGGTTAGGCTTGTAATAGTTATCTTTAAGGTTTAGTTAAGTCTCCAGGAAATGAAAGGAAGTCTAGGTAATGTCCCCACAATTCACAACAACAAACCTGAGTGTGTGTGTGTGTACTTCCGTTCATACGTGTGGAATCTGTGTTCAGTAAATGATGAACGGAGCTGTAAATGATTCCATAATAATTGAGAACACAGAGAACATCTCTGCACATTTTAATACACAGTTACTGTTTATTTACTGAGTTTAACAGATTGAGAAAAAAACATGAAATATAAAATGTGCCATCACTTTTGCTTGGGTTACATTTTATGTTTTATTTTATTTCAATATGTTAAATTCAGTAAGTAAACAGTAATTGTGTATTAAAATGTGTGGAGGTGTGTTTTCTGTAGAGGATGTGTTCACTTATTCACACTTTGAAAACAATACAAACACTGCATTCAACCAAAGGTTGTGCAAACTTTTGCAAAGTGTGTACACAGTCACATGTGGTTTTACTGTTATGACTGATCAGTGTATTGTTGTGCATATATATATATATGTATATATATATATATATATATATACACACACACACACACAACGATCAGCCATAACATTATCCTTATTTCTATGCTCATTGTCCATTTTATCAGCTCCACTTACTATATAGGGTCACTCTGTAGTTCTACAGTTACAGACTGTAGTCCGTCTGTTTCTCTGATACTTTGTTAGCCCCCTTTTACCCTGTTCTTCAGTGGTCACGACCCCCATGGACCCTCACAGAGCAGGTACTATTTGGGTGGTGGGTCATTCTCAGCACTGCAGTAACACTGACGTGGTGGTGGTGTGTTAGTGTGTGTTGTGCTGGTACGAGTGGATCAGACACAGCAGTGCTGCTGGAGTTTTTAAACACTGTGTCCACTCACTGTCCACTCTATTAGACACCCCTACCGTGTTGGTCCACCTTGTAGATGTAAAGTCAGAGACGATAGCTCATCTGCTGCTGCAGTTTGTGTTGGTCATTCTCTAGTCCTTCATCAGTGGTCACAGGACGCTGTTGGCTGGATATTTCTGGTTGGTGGACTATTCTCAGTCCAGCAGTGACACTGAGGAGTTTAAAAACTCCAGCAGCACCGCTGTGTCTGATCCACTCAGACCAGCACAACACACACTAACACACCACCACCACGTCAGTGTTACTGCAGTGCTGAGAATGATCCACCACCCAAATAGTACAAGCTCTGTGGGGGTCCATGGGGGTCCTGACCACTGAAGAACAGGGTAAAAGGGAGCTAACAAAGTATGCAGAGAAACAGATGGACTACAGTCTGTACAGACTGTACAGTACAGTAACTGTAGAACTACAGAGTGAAACTATACGGTCAGTGGAGCTGATACAGTGGACAATGAGTGTAGATACAAATACTAGGAGAGGGGTTTAATGTTATGGCTGATCAGTGTGTGTGTGTGTGTCTAAGTGGAGTTTGTCTGCTGCTCTCTGTTCCTCCAGCAGGGCGGCGTTGTTGCTGTTCTACGTGTTCTACGTGCTGAACAGTCTCAGATCAGTTGTGGTTCACGTGCTCTTTGCAGGAGAGTCTGTACCCAAACCGGTTCAGCAAGCGCACACGCTCTACACACACACTCTACACACACACTCTACACACACACACACTCCACGTACCACACACACACACACTCCACGTACCACACACACACACACAGACATGTTCCCTCATATAAACACAAACCCTCAAACCCACAGCGGTTCAGCTGTGACTGACCACACGCACAATAACAATAATAACTCCTCTATTACAGAATGTCCTCAGCTGTGAACCTTATCCAAACAGCGCTGAACCCCGTCCGCACTGCTTGCCTCACACACTGATCTCACTGAAGTTATTAAAGAGACTGTTTGGTGAAAAAACAACCCCCCCAAAAAACACACTCACCCCACATGTAGTCACTCAGCCAAGACAATGTTTGCTGCATCTTTAGTTTGCTTTCCTTAGTTGTAGCACTGGAGCTACAAGGCTAATGTAGCTAATAAGTAATGGAACATCATTAGCATTGTAATTAGCCTGGTGCTAACGACATTCCTAAGTCATCGCTCAGCCTCAAAGCGTGTGGAGTTCAGTAATGGTCTTGATTATGTGGTTTCTGACTCTGTATGAGGCCGTTTACACCACACATCAAGGGTTCTCGGTGATCGGATCACAATCTGATTCGACCACATGAAAAATATATGTACATATCAAAAATATGTGTAATGTATGTGATGTTTTAACCTACATGTGCCGAACGTATTGAATATATTGACGCAATATAGGTTCATAGGCTGAATGAATAACTGACTCTAAATGTAGGTATTGTGATATAAACTGAGTCTGTTCTACAGTTTCTCATTAGGCTGAATGAATAACTGACTCTAATGTAGGTATTGTGATATAAACTGAGTCTGTTCTACAGTTTCTCATTAGGCTGAATGAATAACTGACTCTAAATGTAGGTATTGTGATATAAACTGAGTCTGTTCTACAGTTTCTCATTAGGCTGAATGAATAACTGACTCTAAATGTAGGTATTGTGATATAAACTGAGTCTGTTCTACAGTTTCTCATTAGGCTGAATGAATAACTGACTCTAAATGTAGGTATTGTGATATAAACTGAGTCTGTTCTACAGTTTCTCATTAGGCTGAATGAATAACTGACTCTAAATGTAGGTATTGTGATATAAACTGAGTCTGTTCTACAGTTTCTCATTAGGCTGAATGAATAACCGACTCTAAATGTAGGTATTGTGATATAGGGTGAGTCGTGGGGGGGGTTGTGGGAATTTGGCTGAACTCTTGCGTTTGTTGTTCACTGAAAATCTTCCTGGTTCTCTCTGGGAGGCGTATCGTGAGCGCTGTGTCTGTGTTTTGGTGGGGGAGCGGCTGTGCAGAGTTAATGGAGTAAGGAGTGCAGTGTTATCTGTAACAGTTCAAGCTGGGTGTGGTGAGCTAAACTGGATCCAGATGAATTGAAGCCCGCAGGGAGAAACCGTGTGTGTGTGTGTGACCTTCTGTAACTGTACACCACACACACACACACACACACACACACATACAATAGATAAGCTAAATGGCTTCGATCATTGTGTTTTAGCTTTACAAAGAGATTAAAATAAAAAAGCAAACAGAGTTCCAGTCAGAATATCTTGTAAAAACACGCTGCTGTGACTGAACGCTGTGTTCCTGATCACTGATCAGATGTTAGATGTGTTTAAAGGGCCCGTACGCTTCATTTTTCTTGAGGTTCATTTGGTTGTTTGGTTTTATGCACCAAAAACAGACTTCATTCATTTTTATAAGATCATTTTCCAGCCTATCTTTATCCCTCAGCATTAAACAGACTACTTTTAAGACTCATATATGCAAATGAGCTCTGTTTTGATTGGCTGTGTCTCATTCAGAAAGCAGTGCAGGCTGAAACACTCCTTATAACTTCAGTGTGAATGGGCGGGGCCT